GCGCAAAAAAATGTTCGTGACCTTTACTGTCAGGGTGCGCAGATTATTATTTATTTTGATCACGGAAAGGTCACGAAATAAGGTGGGAGCATTGCCACGCCGACAAATCAGTTTAATTTCTTTAAAGAAAAAAACATTTGGAAAATCCGTTTCATAACCGTTTTTTACGTAAATATTTAAATTAGTACAAACATAGAGAACAAGCAGATAGGTTCTTATACTTTTTTTGCCATTTCGAATCGACTTGGATAGAACCGATTAAAAAATAATCTACAACGTAGGCGCCTTTCTTCCCTACCCACCCCATAGCCTCACACCACACGTGGGATATTGCAAGTCTGTGTTTTCAGCGCATTGTTTAACGAAACTAACTAAAGTAAATGCCTCATCGAATGTGTTTCACCAGCCGTGTCCAAGATATCACGGACCCCGTTCCAACTCTCGCTTTGTGTGACCACTGTGGCCTCGCTGCCGACATCGCAGCCTTGCCTGCCTCTGTCACCGTGAAGAGAAGCTAAGGTCCCCCCACCCCCCCGTGTTTCCACTCAATCGTCCATGGGCGCCAGACGAGATACTTCTCTTTGGCGGTTCCAATGTATTGATGTGGAGGCCAATCACGTATGTACTGTAAGCATGTATGTTGAACCTCCTTCGCACAGTGCGTAGCCAATGGGTGTAAGATGACAGTGAATTACGTGAGGAGTGAGTTCTCAAGTAATTCACTTTGATTAGCCGTATAAATATATGGGCGCCACTAAAGTGGTCGACCAATTTCTGCTCTGGCCCATGGATGATAGGCAGGTCTGGCTTTGTGCCCTCTAAAATGCCAGGCCATCCGTCGAGAAACGCTGTTCCGTGTGCGCCTGTCTCACATCACTCGGCGCGTACGGGGGTGGTTCTGTTCGAGGTGCTGCGTTATGGTGGAACCCGGCAGACGTGGTGGGAAATTAAGACGATTGGACATTGCTACTGCACGCTGCTACTCGTCGAGAAGGAGGGGGGTAGCTGTGGGGTGGAAGGTGGAGGGGGTGGCCCTGGGAATTGAAACTCAGCACCGTATGAGCCCGCTGTGACTCTCCCTCTACAGAAGAAAGCATCTGTGGCCTTGTTCAGCGGTTCGGGACTTTAAAGTCGTTGCTAGGCGGCAGTCCGACAGCATTGGCATCCAAAAAAACAAAGCGTTCGTTTAGGAGCAGAAAAAAATGTCCCGCTCGTGTTTAATCAGCTGCTGCTGCTGCAGCAAGCCGAGCGAATTTATCAGCCTTTGGGGGCCCTACGCAGAACACTCGTTTTGGGCCCTACGCTTCCCTCTTTTACGAGATGCGAGTGAGATGGCAGAAGAGATATATACAAGAGACAGAGGTCTGATTAGATGAGTGAAGGGACATTCATACGAGACAGAGGCAAGGGAGAATATAATCTTGATTTGAAGCTTTCGTGACTGCAGGAATCTATACTCTTTGGTTATTTCGGTAAAGTCACGTAGGTAGAAAAAACAATAAAAGATCACGACGTTGTGTTGCGATCGAAACGTCGTGGTCTTTTATTATTTTTTCTACCTACGTGACTTTACCGAAAGAACCAAAGAGCAAGAAAGAATGTTTATTTTATTTTAATTGGCCTGCTATGTTTATTGTGATCTTCGGTCAGTTTCTTTTTTTGGGGCGAGGACCATTGAACTAAGACGCATGCACGTTTCTCAATTCGAGTCGACATTCGGTGCATCCTCATTACTATCCATGATTCTGGAGGGGGCCTTGAGCCCTCTTTCGGTCCTAATCTCATCTTGGCTCGTGCCCTGCTGCCACCACTGCCGCCACATCCGCCGCGAGATGTAAAGGAACCAGGGACCCGCAAGTTGGAGGCAGAGGACGGCAGAGAGGGTTTGGGGCTCCGTTAATCCCCAAACTCTCTCTCAGCAGCTCCCCTTTCCCAGCAGCCGCTGTTGAATTCACACACGTGTCGGGTAGTCCGCCCCCCACCCCCCCACGAGCAACCCGATAGGCGGCTGGATTTTTTTTTCTTCCAACAGATGTCTTCTCGTGCCGCCGCGAACAGACGAGTCGAGGCTTCCACAACCCGCTCCGGGGCGTGTACGATCGACCGCGACCCCGCGGCCTACGCGGCTTAGCTCGGGGCATGTGTTGCCGGAGTTGTTTTTTTTTCACTACAAGCCATCTTACACGCCTTCCCATAACTCCCGTGGCAAAGGTGGGACACCTTTTATGTGGCGGTTCGGGGGGAGGCTCCCGGGGTCTTTCCCCGGAGAGGCCACGGTACCGCCACCCCGCTGCGGCTTCACGTCTTCGGAGGTCAGGCGAAGCAGCGCCCGACCCCGGCTGATGTTCGCCATCGATGGCTGCCGGGGATGAATCAAGTTGAGGTGGCCGCGGTGGCTCAGAGGTCAGAGCGCTCAGCCTGGTTTCGAATCTGAGCTTGAAGCTGCCCAGCCGTGGTTAAACTCGGGTTTCAAGACCAGTGAGTTTACGGTTTCTAATGACCGTACAAACAAGGCATCACAGGTATATAGTTTTTTTCTCTGAATGTGGCGAAATTGCAGCGCTGAGAATTAAGAATAATGGGTTGACTGTCGCGCAACAAACAATCTCAATAGCAGAGTGCGTTTGTGTGGGTGTGTACACGAGTGTGTGTACACGTGTGTGTGTGTAGTCAATGTGTGTGTGGGGAGCGGTAGTGTAGCGGTTAGCGTGCAGCGCTACGAACCCGGCCACCCGAGTTCGACTCCCGCTCACGGCTAGCACCAGGTGACGAATACCTGAATTGGTCCTGGGCTTCCCCTAGGTCGACTCAGCCTTAAATGAGTACCTGGTGCGGTGTGTAAACATCACCACTGCGGGGAGACAAAGGCGGCCGGGGCATGGTGTTGGCCACCCACCCCCTCGTGTGCCGTGCCGTGCCTCGCTAACAGCACTTGTCCCTACAGTCTGCTAAGGCTATGCGGGGGAATCTTTGTCTTTGATCTTCGTGACACGAGGTGCAACCGCTAACACCCCGGGTCTCACTCGTGAATCGATGCATCATTGCTCGCCTTACTCACGAGGCGCGCGCGCGCTCTCTCCTGTGTAAGGAACAATGTTAATTAAAGGACACCGATACATCAATTAATCCCACAACAGCGCGAGAGAGGGCACGGAGCCGTGAAAGCTTCCAGCTTGTTCACAGCCGCGGTGTCAAGCCGACGTTCAGGCTGCTGTCCGAACAGTCGTTAAGATCCCATCCCACGTCTGTCTTCGGTAACAGGAGAGGAGGTTAATTGTTGAGTTCCAGATGAAATTCCACTTCAGCTCAGTGAGATCTCTGGCGTGGAACAGCCAATTCATGAACATGTTGCCTTCTCTGTCGGGGTTGGATGTGCCTGTAAATGATATGCATGCGCCTCCGTGGGTGTTTCCAGTGCAGTTTGTGTTTTGATTCCAGTAATGAGCTCCATGCGGCTTGACACTCATTACCCCCCAACCCGCTGTTACAATTCGATTACTCCTCGTGGGTTTAGCTACTGGAAAATCCTGCAGGGCAGCCCCTGTCTCATCGCTTCTCGGAAACTTGGCAGGATTGAGCCCTCGGATGGGTGACCTCCAGAACGTACCATCTGTAATCGGCGCGGGGCTGCAAGGTGTCCAGCAGATGGCAGCACAACAATGGATCATTGGATGTATCTGTGCGACGTTTTTCGAGTGTTCTCCCATCTTTAGCATGCGATGCGATTGCAACGGTCAGCACACCGGACTTGCAACCCAGAGGTCACCGGTTCAATCGCTCTGGCGCGGTAGTTGAAGAAACGGGTGGAAGTCTTTTTTTTTAAACGTCCCTGACTCTTTATCCGACCAGCAGCGTACGTGGGTCACATCACAGTCAGTCGATTGCGAGGCCACGCGTGGTGGGGGAAAGTGTGGGTCCTGTGGCCTCTTCCAAGACATCTGGGCCAGAGTGGAAAAGTAGACCAAAATTACCCTTTAGAGGGACATCTTATCGATCCCTCTAGAGCAGTGGTTCTCAAACTCGTTTGTCTACTTACCAAGTTGTTGAACTTTGTTTCAACCGAGTGAACACCCCGCCCCCTGGCTGACCCAACATGGCTCTGAGAAATAAATGTATGAATAATGAACGTCGATATTTGAACCAATTGTCCATGTTTGTGAGGTATCATCCTAACTAGCTAAATACATAACGTCAAGCGAATAAAACTAAAATCAACGGAAGCTCTGCAAGCATCACGTGATGTGTTCGCGCTCGCTGGTTACCCTTGTAAACCAACATTATTTACGATCAATGACTTTACAAAGGTCTTTTACATCGTTATCGGTTACCACACGGATTTAAATAGTATCCTCGTCATTTTATATTGGCAGATGCATACGCGATTATTCACAAACGACTCTCTCGCGTACGAAATAATTTCAAGCATTCTATAAATCATCTCGTGTAACCACCCCCCTTGGGACATTGTCCCCACGTGGTGTATCCCCCGGGGGACCGCGTACCCCCGGTTGAGACCCACTGCTCTAGAGCCTGTGAAGATTTACTTTAGAACACTGACTTAATATGTGCCTAGTGCGGCTTTGTGTGCGTGTGGCGGTGACATCGTCCTTGGCCACCGTACGGATTTATATCTTATCGTAGTTATTTTATATTGGCAGATTCATGCAGGACGTGATTATTCACCGGCGTCTCTCTCGTGCACGATATAATTTCACACGTTTATAAATCACCTCGCGTAACCCTCCCTGGGACATTGCCCACGTGTACCCGTGCCTACCCCCGGCTGAGTTCCACCTCGGACACCCCTCCCGCTCCTAGTCGGGTGAGCGAACAATCTGCAGATTTTACCTTCAAAAGTATTCTATAAATCATTTTCTACAGAACGTATATAATGTTCTTGCCGAGGCTGCAAGAGTTCAACGAACAAAAGAGAGAGAGAGAAAAAAGACAAACGGTGATAATAATTTCAAGATGAGCGCGAGAGATTTACAGTTCTCAGCGCGAACTTTATTTTCCACGAGCCCCATATATTTACACACAGTTGAAGAGTGAAGGGGAGAGATAATAAATAATTGGGCACATCTGCTGCAAAGCGTATCCTGCAGTGGGAAAACCCCCGCATCATTCAATCCGCCGCAAGCCACAGCCTCTGTTGTACAGCAGCAGCACCCCCTTTGCCTTACGCAAAGCGACAGAGATTATCCCGTACAAGCGCTAATCCAACATGAGAAGTCGTGTCTTTATTTTTTAAACCATATGTGAGACACGCGATGAGTTGTTTGGTGATACTCCGTTGGCAGGGGTGCACAAGTTATACAAATAAACCCAACACATTCGTAAATAACGCTGCCTTAGACGATGATGGCAATGACCCTTCGGCTAGAACGGCAATAACACCAAAGACAAAGACCCCCCCCCATTCCCCCGTGTAGCCTTAACAGACTGTTGGGGCAAGTGCTGTCAGCGAGCAGCACCTATGAAGGCCGGCACGGTGGCGCACGAGGTGGTCGGCGGGCAGCACCACGCCCGGCCGCCTTTGTCTCCCCGCAGTGGTGATGTTTACACACCGCACCAGGTACTTATTTGAGGCCGAGTCGACCTAGGGGAAGCCCAGGACCAATTCAGGTGTTCGTCACTGGTGCTGGCCGTGAGCGGGAGTCGAACTCGGGTGGCCGGGTTCGTAGCGCGGCACGCTTAACCATGACACTACCACCGTGGCGGCATCCACTTGCATCAACATGCTCGAGAAAGTCAATGGCCCTATGAGAATGTAACACCGTTATACATATAGATGTATTCACCTTTTAACGCCACAATGTTATCGACGAATGCGTTGCGTTTCGTTTAGATGCTGTATCCACTGCGAGTGACGCACGGCCACGGACACCGGGAGCCCGAGTTTGACTCCCAGCCACGCCGAGTGACGAGTCACAAGCGATGATGACACATTCAGCAGCCTGATGAAGTGTGGTCAAACAACCTTCCACGACCCACAGCGGCACGGGGCAGGCCTTCAGCCAGCAGCGGATTGACAAAGCGCTGTCAATTATTCGGTCTTGTTCAGCTGCGGTGGGGGGGTTGATGGACCTTGCCCGTTAACTGGGTAACTTCTTCGTCCTGTGGAAATCTTTTGCACAAGGACGGGCCTCTGTGAAGCGTTACAAGCGGGGACGCCTGTCACGAGATAATCTAATAATAAAGCGCGCGGATGGATTTCTTCAAATTTCGAATTAGAGTCAAAATCCTGCAGGGGAACCAAGAATTCATTCACGAACGTTGAACAGACACCCGGCGATACAATAAAGACGTTACACAACGAGGGCTATTCATTCATTCACACGTTCCAGACCGGCCCCGGGTTTAATCCAGGTCTCCTCCTCATGCGTGGCTGCCTTTAGAATCAACACCACATCTTGTACTCCCGAGTCGGACCCCCCCCCCCCCCCAACTGGGCAAGGTTTTGTTCTCAAGCCAAGCTCAAGGAGCAGTATCGACGGAACCCCTCTGCCAAAGTCTACAGCGGCATTAACCGGCTGTGTGTGTGTGAGAGGGGGATTAAAAGTCAAAACCTGGGGGTGGAGTGGTGGTGCAGCAGAATCGTGCGCTGTGTTATGAACCTCATGACCTGAGTTGGGTTCCTCCTGGCCATGAGTAACGTGAAGTTGACCAGCGTGGTGAAGTATGGTCAAACAACCCCCCCCCCCCCCGACAGAAATGTATCCAGAGGCCTAAGCCATGCATTGATAAATGCCCGCAAAATTGTATTAATGAGGAAAATGGCCAGTACACTGGACTTGAAATCCAGGCAGCACAAGTTCCATATCCTGGCACGGCAAGTTTCTTAAATCCTCCCCCCCACGTCTATCCAGTCCACCCAGCCGTATACATTGGATGCATCATAGTATGATGATCGGCAAGTCGTTTGCGGCGGGGTAAAGCGTGGGTAATTCCAACTCCAAGACGTCTGGCCAGCGTGCAAGTGTGGGCCACGTGACCTCTCTTAGAGGGGACTGTCTAGAGCTCCCTTTCACGAAGGCCGTTCCGCCAGCAGGAGCGTGAGCGAGCAGTTGCAGGGCTGCGCCTTGACCTTTTATATAAGTTATCTTGTGATCAGATTAAGCCACGGTGCGTTCAATGCAGACAATAAGTCATCATGTTTCGTACCATTTGTGACACTTTCCAGCGTGACGCTTCGATGTCTTGCGTTTGATTGAGAGCCGAACGATTAATCAGTAAAATAATAATAATCATGTAAAACGGGTTTAAAATAGATCAGCAACAGTACCAATTTTAAATAATAATAAAAATTAATAGCAACAACTCCCATTTAAGAAATGTCTAATCTACTGGTAGCATTTAAATAAAGTTTTAAGCATATACAAATGAGAAAAAAATGCAAAATGCGTACAATTTTACTTTTTTTCAGTTTCAAAGTTCGCAGAAATTAGTAAATATGCTTGTACGTGCAATTATCTGTAATTATTTCACAATAAACTAGACGAACCCTAACAACTACGCCAGACATTCTTCTACAAAACATGAATGCTTATCTTTCAAAGTGATTTTTTGTTTAGTCTTTATGACTTTCATATTCTAATAATATTATAATTGCTCTTAATTACATCCGGCTGTTTCTATTATTTTAGCCGGAAAGCAATGTCTCTAGACTCGATAGCTATCATTACTTTTAAGTTACTAGCAGACTAATGCTCGCGCTGCAGGCCTGGGGTGCTTAGCCACTTTGTGTCACCACAGGGACAGATGCCACTGGGGATGCCCGTTTGGATGTTTTGAAATGCGACGTGAGTCGCTTGTTGAAAGTAAACCACTCCCGCTCTCTCTCTCTCTGAGACTCATCAGCTCTATCAAAACGAATCGTTCTTATCCATAAATGCACACTTACAATTGATTTTTTTCTGTGAGCTTCAAATAACATAGTAATATTATACCGTGCGTTTCCCCCGGAATTCTGTTTTAATAAAGTAAAACAAAAACTACCCCCTAAAAGTACGGGTAAAATATGAAACGTAAATTCAATAATTCAATAGGCTTGGTGAATCGCACAAATATTGCGAAAATCCCTTCCTGAGAGCATCGAGGTGCCATAGCCTGGCTCTCCAGGGGCAGGAGGTACAGCAAAGTGCAGACGAAAATCATCTGCGTGGAATAGTGTTCTCAATTCACTCTGAGGAGTGGGGGGTTTTTTCAGGCGCTCCGGCTTCTTTCCCACACGCATTCATTGGCCGAACGCACATCTTAACACATTCCTGCGGAGCGAGCTGGTAGGAACGTTGGGTTGCTCGGTCAATGGCCAGGGTCAACGGCGGCGTGGTGTATTCCGTAAATATGCCCGACTGTGAGGGCGGGCACAAGCCGGCGTGAGTAGGTTAAACGTTGAGTTTTATAAGGGCACCACGGGGTGACCAGCCCCTCCCCACCCAGCCCCTCCCCATGCACGACGGACGGACACAATAATCCCCTGTGGGCTGGTGTAACCAGGAGGTTCCTACCAGTATAAGACTGCAGACCTTGGGCAATTGTTGTTGGCACTGGCTCACTATCTGACGACTGCCTTGCAGCTTGTCGATGCTTCCTCAGCGATCGCCAGATGCGATGTGCGCGAATGACGGCGCTACATATACAACGAAACATTGTTGCGATTGTGAACCAAATCCAAAATACTGACGGGGGAAACTTTTTTTCGGAGAATGTTTTGGTGGTTGGGCATCACTGCTCATGGGCACCGAGTCCATCGCGAGCAGGCAGTAAAACGTCGGAGAAAACGAGGGGGCTCATGGAGCCGCACGCTCGATTAATATTGCCATGGCTTTTGCAGTTCAATCACGTGGCGCTTTATCTGCACCGCAAATGACCCACAACACCCCTTACAAGACACCCCTTCACCCCCAACCCATGTGCACCGACTCTCAACGGGTTGTGTGTGAGCCGCTCCGGCAATGCGCCTCGGGGCTTCGCGAGTGGACCTTGCGAGTCCACGCAACTTATCGCGTCGCCCGTCGCGCGCGTAACGCGAGGCCGCTCACGAGGGAGGACGACATCGCTTAAGCACTCACAATTGGCTGCAGGATTTCAAGCCTAAGACGTTGGCTGCAGAGACTCATTAGTTGCTCTCTGGGATTTTATTTTGACCAACAGCTTCCTCGCCCTCTCCCCCCACCCTTGCGTCACTTTGTGGTGGGTCAACAACAGTCGCCCCCATGGAGAAAATGGCCCCAGCCATGGGAACGTGGAATTTCCACCGCGAGCTCGAGGCTGCCGGCGGAGCTAAGCGCGAGCCCACGGCTCATTGGAGTGAGCCGGCGGACGCGGCCCTGAACAACCATCACCTCGTGCTGGCTCTGTCGGGGGCCAAGCTCACGCTGCCGCCGGCAACACTCGACTGCCATTCAGCCACGAGGATGCCACGCCGCTGACGACGCCGCCGCTTACTACACTGCTCGAGGTGATGCGACTGGCACAGCTTACCTCACCGACTTATCCCGTCACCAAATCGTCTCCAAGTGCCCGATCTCATCCGATCGGGCAAACCAAACAGGGTTTTAGCTTGGAGAGTGATTATTTATCACCATGAACCATGAGAAGATAGCCCGTAGGTGTCGACTGCACGTCTCGTCATTTGTTTACACTTTCTTCTCTGCCTTGTGCCAATATGTTCAAGTAGTGGCCACGTCCTTCTGGCACCAACCGCTCATGTCGTCATCGTCAAGCCATTCTCTGTGAGGCCTTCCTCTCTTTCCGGTTCCTTACATTTTTCTGAACGACAACAAGAACACTTTAAATGTTCCTATTGTTGTCCATCCTACATGTGTCATTATTTATGATTAATGGATTCCTGCGAACCCAATATTACAATGCTCATCTATTCCATGGTGATGTATGGAACCAATATATCCGATTATCCACATTATCACCCACGATTTTTCTCCCGTTATACGTGGGGGCGATTTTTTCTTACAAATTGCGGATAACAGGAAGAATGGGATTGCTGGTATTTAGGAGGTTTCTCGGACTTTATAGCTTCGGCGGATAACCGGAGTCACGGGTAATAGGGTCGTGGATTGGAGCTCTGAAGAATATCTACTCAGGAGTGCAGATTTATTACAGCAAGTTAAAGGTGAAACAATAACTTTTTGACTGCTACCATAGGTCACGATGAAATGAAGAGTTAATAGAAGGTAAATGTCTAACTCGTGAGGCTGTGTATACATATAATACTATTTTTTTATGTATTCGCCTTTCGCGTGCGTGCAGTGTAACACACCAAGTTGTAGTACAGGCAAGTGGACGTGCAGGCATGACATCTGTATAATCAGAAGTCTACGTTTCACCAGTCACCTTTTGCAAAGGCGTCCAATTATACGCAAAGTAGATTACAAACAAACAAAACATACCCGCTCACTTATCGTAATCCCTTCATATTCCAGTTGATAGAAACTTAATGCAAGGTTGAGGCACATGGAATGTCTTTGGCTAAATCTGATTCTTGTGCGTATTTGCCATTTGAACATGAATATTATTCGGTTATTAACTTAAAACGAATAGTTAATCATTACTAGTGTATCACTGTTGCTCACTTTCGTGAGTCTCCTTTAAAAGGATAGCGTATAGAGCATATATATATATTGTGTGCCGTGGTCAATGACGGAATTACACTTTAACTATTGTGCATAGAACACACGTAAAAAAATATGTTGTCATGCTTAAAAATATGTTTTGTTCAGACACAAAAATAAAACGTGCAATTCACGAGCGTTATAAATTGAGGAGGGCCATTTCCGACCTCGTCTGAATTTTCTATCAGACTCAGCAACAAATATCCTGTTGCTTACATTTAGTTTCGAAAGCACATATTGAGAGCTGACACGTGAAAGATGGGTTTGATAAGAAAAAAACATTCCTTTTCAAATATATTGCCCAAAAGTGTCCATTTTAATTGATCTCTTATGTTATTTATTCTCCAATTAAATTTACTAAGGCATGCTGTATCGAGATATTTATCAATAGTATTTTGTTTACCTGTCTACGAGGGAGAAAACACTACTTCATAAAAACAGACTAATTACGAATATCATCACATTAAATGTTATACAATAGAGCCAGTAAAAGCCTATAAGCCCCCCCCTCCCCGCAAGAACATCTGCAAATTTAATCTTACGTCCCCCCCCCCCTTATTTTCAGCATCAAAGGAATTCAGCCGCATTCATCAGTGACGTATTTTCTCTTCAAATAATTTATTTTGGAGCGCTAACCGACCCAGGCCTCCACCACCACCGCCGCCACACCTAACGCTGTCCGGTAGCCCCGGTCACCGCGGCAGACCTGTGCCTGTCGCGGCGATTCCTGCTCTTGATCTCTCTCTGCTTCGTCTTGCCGGCGCTGTCTCCATCGAAGACGTCGCCGGTCACCCCCGTCGGCCCTCCTCCTCCGCCGCCCCCCACCGCCGCCCCGACGGGCCTCCCCTTGACAGACCGCTTGCGCCACAGCTGCTCGCAGTAGCCGTCGGGGCCCAGCGAGGACGGCGCCCCCAGGAGCCTCATCACGTCCTTGTACCGCGCGCGCAATGGCGGCTTGCGCTGCGGCGGCGGCGGCGGGCCGTCGCGCCGACCTTTGACCCGACCCCCGAGCTCGTCGGGGGAGTCCGAGAGGTCGCCGGGCAGGACGCGCAGGGCGACGCGCGTCACCGTCTGCGAGAAGGACTTCTCGCGAGCGCGGCAGTAGTATTTGCCGGCGTCGCGGCGGTGCAGGCGGCGGATGAGCAGGCCGTGCTCCGTCTTGGCGACGCGGTCGTCGGACTTAACCTGCACGGCGGCGCCGTGACGACGGGAGGAGAGGGAGGAGGGAGACCGATCGCTGGGTGACCGAGAATGGCCCCGTCGTGGACGATACAAGCGACGATAATAATAAATAAGCCTCCTATGAGAATAGGGTTTACCCTTTCTGGCAATAAAACAGGTGTTAAGATGTTAAAACACCAATCTGGAAATTGTTTGCAAGGAATCATGGCTGCAATAACCACATACACTTGTGGTGAACATGCAAACATAAAACATGCTCTGGTAGTATACGATGTATTGTCTTTGAAACTGATTGGTCCACACCAGAGAGAGCTTTCTTTAGAGCCTAGTCTCAAACAGTGTTAGACCAGAGGACGCCAAATGGCGAACAGCACAAAGACAATGCTACTATCAGGACTTCTAGATTTGAAGCTTTCGTGACTGCAATGATTCATATTCTTAGGTTTTTTCGGTAAAGTCACGTAGGTAAAACATCAAAATTATTTTATTTTATTTTGATTAATTTTGATGTTTTACCTACGTGACTTTACTGAAAAAACCTAAGAATACTATCAGGACATTCATCGCTCGGAGTGAGCAGCTACATCCCTTGCCAGTATTAAAATATGAGAATAGGTTTTACCCTTTCTGGCAATAAAACACGTGCTAAGATGTTAAAACACCAAACTGAAACCTTTTTGCAAGGAACCATGTCTGCATTAAGCCTCAAATAAGCCTCCTTTCATTACCTGTTCCGCCCCCCCGCCCATATGAAATATAAATATATTTCAATATAAATCACATCGGCCATGCGACCTGCTGATGAGACAGCGAAATGTCGAAACTGGTCCAGCATTTACTTACATTTTCTACTTGTAATGATAGATATGAGAAGAAAGGAGTATTGTCTGCTGGTTTATTTTGTTAATTTGCCCTCTCCACAATACGAATTATACTCTCCACGATGACATCAATGGTTATTTTCGTACACAGGCGCGCACTTTTTTCCACGCTTTCCAACATGCGTTTGTCCGCCGAAGTGTTTGGTTAGCGATAGTAAACTGCAACGCTTGCGCCAGCCACGGGAAGCCTCGCCCCCCTCCCTTAGGCCGCCACGAGACAACGGGGAGCCGGGGTAGCGGCTCCACTGAGTGAGGCACGGCGAGTAAACACTCGGATCCACGTAGCCAGAGGCTCCGTAGGCTTAGTCCCTCATAGTTGAGATGATGCTTCCGGTCATGTCGGATCTTCTTTACGAGAGTTATTGTGCCCCTTTGATACAGACGGACGGACGGACCGAGATGCGTAAACGCTTTTAAGTTTAACTCGAAATGGCGCCGATTTGATTAAAATTGGCGCCATTTTTTGCGCCGTCTGTCACGCCGCTGCTCGATCTGCCCAACTCACCCTTTGTTTTTCTTTGGTTTGATTATTTACGTTGCCTGCATGTATATATATATATACAGTATATACTGTGTGTACGAACTCCTTGAGTTCACATGGCGAATTTGTACAGCCTCTAATACTATAACAGGATGCTGGCAAGACGGTTAGCACACTGGAACTGAAATCCCAGCGGCGGCAATCATTTAGAAGTTTCTTAAATCCCCCATCCAGCAGTACGAGCGGATGCCTCACAGTTAGTCGGTAGGTCCCGAGGCCAATGAGGAAGAGTAGGCCAAAAATACCCTCTATAGGAGCTTTCAAGAGGTCCCTCTAGTTTCGGTCTATTCTGACAGCAGTGCCGTGAGCAAGCATTGCAGGGCTGCACCTTTATCACAAAGAACGTTCTAATTATTATTATTATTTCTGGCCATGCGGGATGTGTTCGTAAGGAACATCTGCTGAACTGTGCAGTAAGCATTACGTGTTCCCCAGGGGCACAGGTCCCTCGGGAGCGCGGTTTTCTTGCAACGTAGCGTTTGGAAGACACTTTTCAAGCAAGACGCTGATCTTGCTCCGCTAATTTGCTCATTGATGTGCCCATTACAGCCACTTTTATTATTATTATTAGAATTATTGTTGCGTGAGTATTTAACTATTGTTAGAGATAGTCCAAGTGTGTTCATTTCAGGTCGGGTTGCAGGTTGAGCACTTCTTCTCTCAAGCGGTCAACTCGTGGAGGGAGTAAGGCCCAGTTGGTAGTGCGTCGCAAAAGCCGGAGATTCTCAAGACGACGCAGCCCAACCCGGAAATCCACACTTGGATTACAAGCGGCTACCGAAACTTACGCGTTAAATCGTTATAGATGGTTACATGAACATTGGATTGTAATGATGTCACGTCAAACTAAACAATGTTTATGTCACCAGGTAAGGCCCACTGAGCTATGTAGCTCTTTTTCAGAAGCGACCTGGCCACAAATGATAGCTCAACGAAGTAGCTTATCATTGTGTGGAAATATATAGCAGCCAAATATTGTAAACGAACGTCAATTCTAAACCTGGAGAGAAAAACTGGAGGACCCGGAGAAAATTCACAGGGAGAGAGAACATGCAAACTCCAAATATACAACAGGCATCAGGGTCAGGATCCAACCCACGACCTCCTGCATACCAGGCGAGGTAGTTAACATCTCGCCACCATGGCACCCACATATTCTTTAAAAGGAATAATATATTATTAAGATAAATGATTTCTTTTGAAGCCACAGGGTTATTGATGAGCGTGCTGGGTTCTTGTTGCTGTGGTTCGTGCTGTCTCGATGACCTCACCTCTTCCCACACCTCTTCACGCGGGTGCTGGACGAGCCAAGTGGTGGACGCTTGCCGGGATTTTGGCCGGCACTCCAGGAACGTGGCGTTGCTCTCTACCCCAAACACCACTTTTTCCTCCACGTGTTCTCCCTCTGTGGATGAAGCGGAGGATATAAGAAAAGAAAAAAAGTTTATTTTAAGTCTCCCTTTGTCTCTGCATCATCCGGCTGGCGATGTGGGTTTGAGCTGTGATTAGAGGGCTTAACTCACTATTGGATAACATAAAATAAACTTCACACACACAGACTGCTGTGTGTTATTGCGCACAAAAGAATACATGGTGACGGTATTAATCATAATCATCATAATAATGCCGTTTTCTTTGAATGTAAATGAAAGGTCTGCAGTTCACATAACGATCAAGAATCAACCCAGCCCATCAGCCTACCTATCCACGCCGCCAACGTCAAAACACACACACGAGTGCCACTTTGTGCGACACCAACAACAACTGCCCCCCTCCCCCCGTAGTAGCGTGGAATTACCACCGCTCCTGCCTCTGATCGCTCCAATAGAGATTCGCGCGCCACCAGCCCAGCGCTCGCTCTGAGCCAGGGGACGCATTTGGTTGTTTAACACGAATGCCCTCGGGGTTGGAGACGCTCGGCAGGAGATGGAGCAACGAAATCAGCTCACGTGAAGCAGCTGCGATGGATTTGTTCCATCGCGAAATCCTGAGAGACGGCAATGGCTCGGAGAAGCCTTCATCCAGCAGTGGTTTGATCTTAGCTGCTGCTGCTGATGATGATGATGAGGAAGTCCCAGTCGGTAGTCACTCGATCAAATCTGGATGGATATCGTACTGGGTCGACCGCAGAATGGGACTTGAAACACCTACGCTGTTGGTCATGAATCAACCCCACTCGAATTGCGGTGATTTTCGAACAGATTTCTCTCTTGCAATCGGTATTTACACCTGAAACCCATTATTTTTTTGGGGGGGACACTCAACCAAAGAAATAAATAAATTGCCAACTATTAAATGTTATAGACTTCAGTTTTGTTTAAATTCCAGTCTGATTGTGCAGGAATTCGCACACATTTTTTTTTTTACGCCACTCTTTTAACATTCGGTGGGATTCCTTTGGATTTTGGGAAGAGGATTGTCCTCCGCGATTGTGATGTGCTCCTGCCCAAGGGGTTGCTAATTGTGAATCATGGCAATGTGATTGCACCGTAATTGCTTAACAAAAGCGTTCCACGGCTTCCCCCGAGGAATAGGCGCGAGTCCCGCGCGCGCGCATACCATCGGCGTATTTTCACCATTACTCATTTTCATGCAAAAGTTGCAAGACTGTGCTTGGAAAACACTTCCACTGTATAGGAAACATTTCCAGTGAAAAAAGTGTCGGAAAAAAAAGAGGTATTTAAAGTATGCGCAGACCCACCAACGTATTTCCTTATTTATCGTAATAGTAATTGCAAACAAAATCTCAACATATTAATCAAAATCACTGTGACCTTAAAAGAAATAGAGTATATATACCAGGAGACGCTTTGGGCTATGGCCCTTCTTCATAACACATTGATGTTGCTATTCTTTAAGAGTATTCGGCTGCTGTACATTCCACATAAATCTTGATGTGAAGCTTTCGTGACTGCAGGAATCCATACTCTTTGGTTCTTTCGGTAAAGTCACGTAGGTTTAAAATGAATACATCACGAGGTTTCGGGCGCAACACAAGCGTCCATCATCAGGTGCTTTCCCACCTGATGATGGACGCTTGTGTTGCGCCCGAAACCTCGTGATTTATGTTATACCCACGTGACTTTACCGAAAGAACAAAAGAGTATGGATTCCACATAAAGCCACTTCGTTGAGCTATCATTTGTGATGGCAAGGTCACTTCTGAAAAAGCGCTACATAGTAGCTCAGTGGAGCCTTACCTGGCAAAATAAATGTAAAACAAAAGTTGATGGATGTGTTGCGTTGCGTTGTTAACTGTGATTGTGCACCACTGCCAACGCAGCACGCCCAATGAATGTGTTTAATATGTAAATAACAGCGCCCTAACAATGCACTTGTTGTGGGGGAGTGGGGGCGCAGTGCTTAGCGCACTTTAAGGAACTTCATTTGGTGCCAGTTCAAGGTGACCTCATGTCCTCATCACTCAAATGAGCTGGGAATCCCGTTTACAGCCCTGGGCCAGTGGTGAAAATTTTACATTCCTATGATGGGCGGCGGGGCAAATAATATACCCACAGGACGGCCACTGTTAACTTCCCCACAAAGCGGTACTCGTTTTATACATCCTGGAGAGATGATGGGTTGAGTCAACCCCACAACTCGGATTTGAACTCACAGCCTTCTATTTGCGAGGCTCTCGCTCTACCCGGTCCGTTCATGAATTCTATTCGTGTGGGGGTAGAGTGGTGGTGCAGTGGTTATCAAACCCAGCGACTTGAGTTTGAATTCCGAGCCACGGTGCTGTCTAAACTATTTTTTCTATTTAAACAATGTTTTATTTTAGCAGGTAAGGCCGACTGAGCTACATAGCTCTTTTTCAGAAGCGACCTGGCCACAAATGATAGCTCAGCGAAGTGGGTGGAAATGTATAGCAGCTAAATAAATAAATAAATACTGTGAACGGCCTGGTGTTGATTCTTAATGTGGAGGGAAATACCCGGAGGACCCGGAGAAAAATCCACGCGACCACGGGGGGAGAGAGACGCGCAGCACTCAAAATACAGGGTGTTTGAAAAGATGGACCAGATTTGACATCGCTATATCTCTGCAACCACGAATCGCCCATGAATGAAACTCTTACCACTTGAAAGGGCGGGGCATAGAGAGGGCGGGGCATAGAGTTTCAAATGATTACCGCTAGCTGCCTCTCCCAGCGCACAAACAGCCCCGAGCCTCAGTCATTCGCAAGACACACTGCCTCAACGTTGGATAGGTCGCACGGGACCCCAAGACTTGGCGCTACACTCTTGGCCACCCTTGTGGAGATACGTTAAAGACCGTGTTTTTGTGCCACCATTAGCGAATAACCTGGATGACCTCAAAAACAAAATCATGGCAGGGTGACTTCAGTGGAAGAAGACACTTTGAAAAGCGTTTGGGACAAATTCAACCGAAAAAACCTAAGAATATGAATCCTTGCAGTCACGAAAGCTTCAAATCTAGAATTATCATCTCGATGTTGTCTGTACAGGTGGAGGGCACATAAAGCATTTATAAAATGTTTATTAAAATGTGATAACTCATTAAACCGTTTGTAACTTTTTGTGTAATTGTAACGTGTTGCCATCGTGAAATATACTGCATTGAAATTGGGTCAATCTGTTTAAAACACCCTGTATACAGCAGGCATGAGGGTCACGATCAAACCGACAACCTCCTGTATACCAGGCGAGGTAGTTAACATCTCGCCACCGACCCCTGCCCTCACCAAACGCAACCCACATCGACCAGGGCGGTGAAGTATGGTTAAAACAATCCCATTGATCCCAGCATGCGGAGGCCTTCACGACAAAAGGCTGACCAAATACTCTCTCACTGCTCTGTCAACAATTCAGACCAAAGACTCTTTGACTTTGTCCGAGTTATAAATATACTGCAATTGGTAATGTTTAAATAGTAAATGAAAGTAGATTCCGACAAAATCTAAGTTTGCAAAAATATCCTGTAGGATCTATATAATGTAATTTACGATTATCTACAGCGTCGTAGTTGTTTTAACAAGAAAGAGTAAAATGTGTGTTTTTTATTTCGCTGGAAATGGAAGCTTTATGTACACTTCACAAGTTGTGTATTTCTTTCCGCTAGAAGAATAGTTCTCTCTAAAGTCAACATCGTCGATTGGGGGGGGGGAGGTCGGTGCAGGCGGGTAACACCACCACTCCACTCGCAGCATTTGATATAAACAGCGCCGCAAGTATAAACGTAAGTATAAACAGTGCCTCAAGTATAAAATAGTTCTTATTCAAGGCTGCGGTGGCCACACAACGAGTCACAGTGTTTGCCCTTTCCGAGGGGGGGGGGGGGGCATTTCGTTGACATTTCGTTGCCTTTCGGTGTATTAACGGACGACACCACGTGGCCAGCCTGCAGAGAGTGAGACGGAGGGAGAGAGTCTGGCAGCCGTTCAGCTAAAAATCACGGGTACACATTTACTGGGGGGGCCAAAGAAGAAAAACGAAATAAACAAAAAAAGACACCTCCGCCCGGTGAGAAATAATTCACGGTAAAAAAAAGAAGGCGCAGCCCCTGCAATAGCTGGCTCGCGCGACCCGCTGGCGGATCGGGCCTTCGCTCGAGGGAGCCCCAGACAGCCCCGTCTCAGAGGGTACTCTCTGCCCACTCTTTCACGCCTAATTGTGGTGAACCAATTGATGCCGCTGGGTGCATAGAGGCAGCGGGGTTGGTAGAGGGGGGTGGTGGTTTATAAAATATGCTCCAATGGTTCAACCAGGGAGTCGCACCAATAGATTGTCAGGAGGTCGTGGGTTCGATCGCGACCTTGACTGCCTGCATACTTGGAGTTTGCGTGTCTCTCTCCCCCGTGGTTGTGTGGATTTTTTCCCGGCTCCTCCTGGTTTTTCCCTCCACATTTTGAAAGATGCGTTTAGAGTATTTTAGCTGCTGTTGATTTCCACGTGATAAGCCACTTCATTGAGCCATAATTTGTGGCCAGGTCGCTTCTGTAAAAGAGCTGCATAGCTCAGTGGGCCTTACCTGGACACATAAAAAAAAAGTTTTTAATTTACTCTAAAAATATTTTAGTTTACTCTAAAAATATTTTCCAGCCAATCAAACCATTAAACATTCGCAAACCTGGTCAAAATACTCAAGACAAACCTAGAATCATGCTATAAGACAATTGATCAAATATTACACGGAGTAAAGCACTACATGATCGTTTAATCGCACTATCTAATTGTATATCGATAGAGTGCCTCCACTGAAAGGCGCTTCACGTAGTTTCAAAAATGGTGACAGAATTTAATTATTTAGATGGCAAGGGCGTACGAGGTTTGAGGAATGAGTGACCGTGACAGAGTACAATGTATCCAGTTCACCAAATATGTGCGCGTAATAATCGTTTATTATTAATACAAAGATCTTTGTTTGTGGTGGAAAATACAAAATTGCTGTGTTTTCCACATTGGGGATATTCTGTTTTTAGGGGAACTCGAAAAAGTCGCCAGATTTGGCGACAAACACCTCTGAGTTGGCAGCGCTGTAGAGAGACCCTGGGTGGTGGTGAATGTGTGTGTGTGGTGTATGTGTGTGTAGTGCATTGTGTGGTGAATGTGTGTGTGGTGCAGTGTGTTGTGAATGTGTGTGTGGTGCAGTGAGTGGTGAATGTGTGTGTGTGGTGCATGTGTGTGTGGTGCAGTGTGTGGTGAATGTGTGTGTGGTGTAGTGTGTGGTGAATGTGTGTGTGTGTGGTGTAGTGTGTGGTGAATGTGTGTGTGTGTGGTGTAGTGTGTGGTGCAGTGTGTGGTGAATGTGTGTGTGGTGCAGTGTGTGGTGAATGTGTGTGTGGTGAATGTGTGTGTGGTGTAGTGTGTGGTGAATGTGTGTGTATGTGGAGTAGTGTGTGGTGAATGTGTGTGTGGTATAGTGTGTGGTGAATGTGTGTGTGTGGTGCAGTGTGGTGAATGTGTGTGTGGTGCAGTGTGTGGTAAATGTGTGGTGCTGTGTGTGTGTGATGCAGTGTGTGTAGGACGCACCGTTGAGATCCCAGCAGTGTGTGGCGGGGTTACCGTGACGCACGTCCTGCCTGCGTGCCCGCCTGCCCATCCACACGCACGCACGCGGTCAGTCACGAGATCATCAATTACAGGAGTATGAACAGCGCACGTGTGTGCCTTTGTGTGTCGTGGGGGACAAAGACAAGAGGAGTGGTCAGCGTGTTGCGCTACGAACCCGGCGATCCGAGTTCGATTCCCGCTCACGGCCAACACCAGTGACGATCGTCTGAACCAGTCTTGGGCCTCCCCTAGGTCGGCTCAGCCTTAAATGAGTCCCATCGGTTTGTAAAAATCGCCACTAGGAAGACAATGGTGTGCTTGCACGTGGTGCTGACCACCCACTCCCTCGTGTGCCGTACCGGCCTTCATAGGTGCTCACTAACAGCACTTGCCCCAAATGTCTGTGAAGGCTTTATGGGGGACCTTTGTCTTTGGTGGTGGTGGTGGGTAGCAAAATGCACTAAGATCCTAGTGAAGTGGGCTCAATTCCCAGCTGTGCATGACAACATTGGCATTGATATATGGGTCTTCCCGCAAGTTCCCGCAGCCTGAAATAAGAACCCGGTGTGGTGTATCCAGTTTGGCAATGCAGATATGGAAAACACTATTTCTGTACTTTAAGAGAAAAACACACAAAAATATTATTAATACATGGGAGCACAGGAAAAACGTGTCCATTGAAGTTGCGTTTAACGACACGTGCTCCGCTAGAATCTGCATAAAGCATCATATCCATGTGCTCGTGTCTGTTGAGCTGGTGAATTTTAGGGCTTAGGACTTGGTGAAGGCTGTTTTAGTCTACGTTGATTTCGTTTCCCTTTGTAAAGTGCAAAACGGCTGGTTTAGTCTGGCATGGCTTTATCTCGACTGTTTGTGATGGTGTTTGGTCTGATCAACTCTGGCATGTCCTGAGAAAATCTGATCCAGTTTGGTCTGGTCCTATCTCGTCTGTACTGATCTGGTCTGGGCTCATGTGGTCTCAGCTCATTTTGCCTTATTGTTGACATAATGGAGGCTGTTCTGGGCTAAGCTAGTCTGATCTAGCCTGCTCTGGTTAGATCTGCTTTTCTCTGGTTTGATCCCGCCTGTTCTGGTTTGATCTGGTTTTCTCTGGTCCGATCCAGCTTGCTCTTGTTAAATCTGGTTTTCTCTGGTTTGATCCAGCCTGCTCTTGTTAAATCTGGGTTTCTCTGGTCTAATCCAGCCTGTTCTGGTTTGATTTGGTTTTCTCTGGTCTGATCCAGCCTGCTCTTGTTAAATCTGGTTTTCTCTGGTTTGATCCAGCCTGCTCTTGTTAAATCTGGTTTTCTCTGGTCTAATCCAGCCTGTTCTGGTTTGATCTGGTTTTCTCTGGTCTGATCCAGCCTACTCTTGTTAAATCTGGTATTCTCTGGTCTAATCCAGCCTGTTCTGGTTTGATCTGGCTTTCTCTGGTTTGATCCAGCCTGCTCTTGTTAAATCTGGTTTTCTCTGGTTTGATCCAGCCTGCTCTGGTTAGATCTGGTTTTCTCTGGTCTGATCCTCCGTTAGTTCTGCGCCACTCGTGGCTGGACTTACCGCTTAGCGGTGGGGAAGTATCGCGTGCAGGCGCTGCCGTCCCACGCGCAGTAGGGGTCGCGTGCCAGGCAGCACTCGGAGCAAGCGCGCCCGTAGCTGGAGCAGCGGTGCAGGGACAGCTGCGCCACGCCGGTGCGGGAACCCACGTACAGCTGCTGCTGCGCTCGGGACACGACGTAACGCTCGCTTAACTGCTCGACGCAGCGTACACGCAGTAGCGGTTCGTGGTTGCAGGTTAAAGAGGGCGACAAAGTCCACCTCGGGGTGCTTCCGGTCTTGGGAGATGATGCGTGCACGTGGATTCGCTAAGCAACTGGATTGAGATGGCAGCCGCTTTGCAATCAGTGTTTCCTCACGCAGAGACCCACAGACTGACATAGTGACCCATAGACTCGCATAGAGACCCATAGACTCGCACAGAGACCCATAGACTATCGTAGAGATCTATAGACTCACATAGACACTCATAGACTCGCATAGAGACCCATAGACTCGCGTAGACACATATATGGACCCACTGAGAAACTAGAATGTGATGTCACTGGATTTGTCATGGGCGTTTTCTCACATAGTGACCCATAGACTCACACACAGGGTTCCCACAGACTAACACCGCGGTAACACCTTTGCCCGCTTGCTGCAGAGATTGTTACAGAAGAGCCCACCGGTCGCCCCGGTTAATACCGCGGGTACATTGACCATACAATAACCATACATTTTACCATAGATTGACCATACATTAACCATACATTAACCATGCAATACGCGGTGCTGCCGCCTGCTTCACAGCAGGCGCTCAAGATCCCGCGACGTCATTGGGCCACGTGTGTCAGCGTCATTGGGCCACAGTTGAAAATTCTTTGCAGATCGCCTTGATTGGCGAACACCACGCACGGTAACCAACATTGCCCCTTCCACTACACGAATGGTGCGAATGGGAAATGTGCTCATGATTTTATTTGATCGACTTTTCCACCTTTACATGCATGGAGCTATGATATCCACTTTTTACGGGTGCCTTACACATCTAAATGAGTATTTATTAGTGGAGCGCTGACTGTTCAATGCAATGGTCAAATCCTTGCTGCATCCCTTGACCGTCACGGTTATTGCGAATAAAAATAAGTTGATTACCGTGTTCCGGTTAAGGGATACAGAATAAATATTTAATTCTGTGCTAAAATGTTAGCTTTTAGGGCTGAAAGTAAAATTAAAAATAAATATGGCACTTGCTTTTCTTGCTGCGTCTTAGGCATGAACTGTCTCAAGTGATGACAGATATTATTTGAGACAATACAATGCTCTTTCGACAGGGTTTCTTGTGAAAACCGCCGAATAACACTGTTCACATCCTGTTAACATTATCTTCATTTTAACATTACTGGAGACATCTAAAGCCCCAGTCGTGCTTTGGAAAATAACTCGGTTACATGACAATACTCTGCGTAAAACACATCTCGCATAAGACAGCACTATCATTCACTGCACTGCAATGTCTCACATTTTTTTTACAAATATACATAAAGGAGTTCATAATATTTGTCGCCTATTTTATTTTTTAAATGAGCTGCCCCTTGCTTCTAAATGTCACGTACGTCCAAGCAGTGCAGCCAAAAAAGCAGTTTTTCGTCTAGAGTGAAGGCACTCAACGTGTTTAGCTAACCAAGCAGCCAACTACCAGCATGAATACAGCTCCAGCAACACCGGCGTTAACTGCGTGCCACATGCCACATACGAGAGCTCAGCAGGGTGGATTGCTTTGCTTTAGTACGACAAAACAGGCCCTAGCGTCCATTAAACCAATAATTGACACGCGGGGATTTGACACGTGACCAGGGTCACTGTACTACTGTCTAGTCACGTGACCAGAGCGACTGTACTACTGTCTAGTCACGTGACCAGGGCGACTGTACTACTGTCTAGTCACGTGACCAGGGTGACTGTACTACTGTCTAGAGTCACGTGACCAGGGTGAATGCTTGTTACTGTCTAGTGATGCTGGTGGTGGCACTTGTGGAACTCACCCGCTTAGGCGATATTTTCAGAGACAAGATCGGAGTTGGCTCCTGCAATGTGTGCGCAACAATAGGGGTTATGGAATAACAACAACAATAACAACAAAACAACAACACATCGTCATACTGTATTAAAGCTGTGTTCGTGACTGTTTTGCCCCAATTGTTTGTTTTAATGTCTTGTCGGCTTGATGTCATGGGCGGTGTCTACTTCTTCCAAGTGTTGAGGCTCCGCAAACCCTTGCAGGACCAGCTACCTCCCCCCTCTCCCGACGATGTTGTTTGGGCTGAGGGGTTCTCGGTCCCAGTTGACCTGATCCTGGGGGGTTGGATACCAGATCCCCATTCTTTCCTTTAAGGAGGTAAAGGGCTTATACTGCTGCAAGCTACTAATTTGATCATATTGAAAGGCTGATTTAAGATGTGTGGTCTGCGGAGGCACTTTCTATCTCATCAGCACGTGACCACCACTCATGAAACGCTTGGGTGTTACCTGACATTTCGATTTAAAGCTTTGTGACTGCAGGGATTCATCTTCTTGGTTATTTCGGTAAAGTCACGTAGAAGAAAAGTAATAAAATAATGAAAATAAAACATAATAAAATTATTTGTATTATGTTTTATTTTTATTATTTTATTACTTCCCTTCTACGTGACTTTACCGAAAGAACCAAGAAGATGTTACCTGACATGTTTCCAGAGAGGCCAGGATGGTGTAGGAGTGTCAGGGGAAGGATTCCCAGGAGGGTTAGTGGGAGGGGTGATCGAGGAGATATAAGAGTAGAACGGGCGGGAAGAGGGGGCCTTTGGCGGGAACGAGATTGGGATGGCTGGGGACAGGTGTGGATGGGAGAAAAGGATTAAAGGACGAACCACCTGCAACTGTGTGTCTGCTCTCCTTTACAATGGTACTGATCCAGCTCCTGACAGTGGAATGGTAGCCTATCATCTCCAGCAATCACTTTCATGTTCTACGTGCACAACTTCACAGCGATCGCCTCGTGTGTCGCATTGAGGGGAGGGAGGGTCGGTCAGTCTTCTTCCTTTACCAAAATGGCCTTGGTCAGAGGAGGTCATAGATGGCTCCCCCATGGGACCTCCAGCACTTGATTATTTTAGTTTAGTTAAATAAAAGCGTGTAAATAAAAAAGAAGATGCACAGGATGGTCCGTTTATAAATAGCCGACTAAATTGCTTTAATAATTTTTAATTTATAATTTATAATTAATTTATTTTAAATTTTATCATTTTTATTTTTTGTTTTCTATCTACGTGACTTTACCGAAAGAACCAAGCAAATAGGTACTCTTTGGTTCTTTCGGTAAAGTCACGTAGGTATAAAATTAAATAAATCACGACGTTTCGGGCGCAACACAAGCATCCATCATCAGGTGCAAAAGCCAAGAATATGAACCGAGCATATCAATTCCTGCAGTCACGAAAGTTTTAATTCAAAATGTATAATGGCCCCCTTTTAATACTGTAAGCAAATCAGGCTGGCTTTCGTTGGACAGAGTGTATTAAACGACTGAGATACAGATTTAAGGGATAGAATGTATGTATTAAGATTGTCGAGGGCATTGAAAGATTATTGGAAAAATAAGAATAGGTTTTACCCTTTCTGGCAATACTACAGGTGTAAAATGTTCAAACACCAAGTAGAAACCTTTTGCACGGAATTCAGTCTGCATTAACTGCACGTACACGTGGGTGAAAATGCAAACAAACACGCTCTGATAATTATATATGCATTGTCTTTGAAACTGATTTGCCCATAGAAATATAATTTCTCTACCTTATTTTAGTGGAGTATCTATAAACGTATCACCCTCCGCACTCACACGGATGAGTTCACACAATCACGCAGGCTACACACCTTGAAGACTCGCAGCTCTTCCAGGATGACCTCCTCCGCCTCCCAGCTGCTCTTACTGATGCTGATCGCCTTCAGCACCGTGCCAGCATCTTATACCAGGAAAGACAAAGACAAAGATCCCCCGTATAACTTGAACAGACTGTTGGGACAAGTGCTATTAGCGAGCACCGATGAAGGCCGACATGGCGCACGAGAGGGTGGGTGACCAGCAGAATGCCCGGCCGCCTTTGTCTCTCCAGTGGCGATGTTTACACACCACACCAGATACTCATTTGAGGCTGAGTCGACCTAGGGGAGGCCCATGACCAGTACAGATAATCATCAATGGTGTTGGCCGTGAGCGTGAATTGAACCCGGGTGGCCAGGTTCGTAGCGCAGTGCGCTGACCGCTACGCGACCGCTCCCCGCACAGAGACACGCGCACACACAGGAAATATTTAACTACATTTAAAATGCGCACTTTATTTTCCATTCTTCTGCCCTATGCCTAAATGAAGTGAGCAACTTTATATATGCGTAGATATGGTCGGTGAATGGGAAGTGCAGGGGGCAGTGCTGGATCCATGGTCTGTCTACGCTGACTGCAGTCAAATTTTTTGTATAAATACGAACATACACGCCCTTCTTCCCCGTGTTGTATACAAGCGGACACGATGTCGCCCTCAATCGCTGTGCATCGCAGCCCCGATGACTCAGCGTCTCCATGGGGGTCACGGCGGTTCGGGACGGCGCGCCGCGGTGGCTAGGAGATGTTAACTACCTCGCCTGGTGTACAGGAAGACATGGGTTCGATCCCGACCTTGACGCCTGCCGTATATTTGGGGTTTGCGTGTCTCTCTCATCATCATCACGGTGGCTAGATGTTAACTACCTCGCCTGGTGTACAGGAGGACATGGGTTCGATCCCGACCCTGACGCCTGCCGTATATTTGGGGTTTGCGTGTTTCTCATCATCATCATCATCACGGTGGCTAGGAGATGTTAACTACCTCGCCTGGTGTACAGGAGGACATGGGTTCGATCCTGACCCTGACGCCTGCCTATATTTGGGGTTTGCGTATCTCTCATCATCATCATCACGGTGGCTAGGAGATGTTAACTACCTCGCCTCGTATACAGGAGGACATGGGTTCGATCCAGACCCTGACGCCTGCCTTATATTTGGGGATTGCGTGTCTCTCATCATCATCATCACGGTGGCTAGGAGATGTTAACTACCTCGCCTCGTATACAGGAGGTCATGGGTTCGATCCAGACCCTGACGCCTGCCTTATATTTTGGGTTTGCGTGTCTCTCTCATAATCATCACGGTGGCTAGGAGATGTTAACTACCTCGCCTCGGAAACAGGAGGTCATGGGTTCGATCCCGACCCTGACGGCTGGATATTTGGAGTTTGCGGGTCTCCCTCTCCCCGCGGTCGCGTAGATTTTTCTCCGGGTCCTCCGGTTGTTTCCCTCCATGTTTAGAATCGACATGCGCTTACAGTATTTGGCTGCTATAAATGTCCACGTGATAAGCCACTTTGTAGAGCTATCACTTGTGGCCAGGTTTTTTTGAGGCTTTGTGGCCAAAGCTTCACAGAGTCTCAAGACTCTTTTTACAAGAGGGTCCTGCCAAGTCTCTGCAGTAGGGCTGACGTTGCAATATATAATGTTGCATACATTTCAAAACACTACCATTTGATACACAAACCATTTATTATACTTGCACTGTCCTGATTATTAGTTTCTGTTTACGTCAGATCGTGAATTGATTTAACAGACAAAATACCTCACCTAATGCCAGTCATAAAATATAACTCTCTCTATGTTTTTGAAATAATGTAAATGTCACTGTGACAGAGAGGAGACCTTCATCCAGAGCAAGTGGATTCACCATGGCTGCTGCTGCTGCTGATGAACTCCTGAGAAATTCGTCATCATCATCACCATCACGAACCATGGGCAGAGAGCCCCGTAGGTGTCCACTGCACATTTCGTCACTTGTTTCCGCATTCCTCTCCGTCTTGTGCCAAGCAGTGGCCACATCTTTCTGGCACAAGCTTCTTACGTCCGTCGTCGTCGAGCTGATTCTCTGTTCGGCCTTTGTCCGACACGACAAAAAATCGAATCCAACTAAAATCAACGCGGCCGACTCCGGCATTGCGCTCGAGCCAACTGCGACTTAAACACCGACGTGACCTCACTTGACCGCGCTGGAGTCGGTGCCAAATTCTGGCGCGCTGTCTGCATTGGCAGCCAGAAACCGCCGTCCCCTGCCGTGCAGCACGGAGGCAAAATCAACACGCGTCTCTGCGTGGTGGGGGGGCTGTGGGCCTGGGAGGGGGGCGCAGCAGAGGAGACACCGGGGCTGCAGACGGCACGGAGGGGCCCAGCGGAGAGAGCAACTCATTCATAGCTCCTCAACGGAACCAGTGTGGGCCCCAAGGAGGGGGGGGGGGGGGGGTCTGCCCAGTGCAATGTGAACGCAGCAATCAAGATCGCGGACGCTTGGCCCGCCAACCCATTCATCAGATCGCTTGGCTGCACGTAAAGTCTAGCTTAATAATTCTAGGTAGAAAATATATACTCTTAGGTTTTTTCGGTAAAGTCACGTAGGTAAAAAATAAAAAAATAAAATTAATAATAATAAACAATAGAAAAAATAATAGAAATAAAATAAGAAATCACGACGCTTTGGAGGCAACACAAGCTTCCGTCTTCAGGTGGAACCGTCACAGCACAATTGCTGTATCAAGTAAAAAGAAGTCCCAAGAGACCCGACCTTATATATATACTGGTTGACGGGGGAGGAGCCAGGATGGGCCGCGGGAGAGGAGTTGTTGTGAGATGGTTAGTACGGCTGCTGCTGCTGCTGGGACTGAGCCTTTGTCATGTAGATGGCAGAAGCAGAAAAGCAAGTCAGGACCAAACAGCCCCTTGCTATGCTGCTGGGTGGGTAAAACTCAAGGCAGGCCACCAGCGTGTGAAAAAAGAAGCTAAACATGATGAAACAAAATTGGCTGTCTATCAGTAAACTGTACGGTAACTAAAGAATAGTACCTGTCAAATAAGATGGTCCAAATATGTGTAGTTAAATCTACGTGACTTTACCGAAAAAACCTAAGAGTATGAATCCTTGCAGTCATGAAAGCTTCAAATCTAGAATAGAAAATATATGTTTGAGGGATACGCTCCCAATTTTCCAGATTAATCCAACGTGAGGCTTAGATAGGAAATTTCGGACGACCCGAATTGTTTTTGTGCACGGGAGCAAAACCCACGACCTCCAGTGTACCAGGCGAGGCAGTCAACATCTCCTGGCCACGCGGCGACTGCTCCCCGCGTACCCGTGCCGAGGAAGAAGACGCTGTAGGGGCCGTCGTCGGCCTCCACGCGGTCCACGGCGATGGCGGTGACGCGGGCGGCGCCGGCGAGTGTGAAGGCCGGGCGGCCACGCGAGGGCCGCACGGCGTCGTGCAGGAGCGGGTGGGAGCGGGCGAACGCCAGCATCTCGTCGGGGAAGTCGCGCGTCGAACGCAGCTGCGGCTCGTACGTGCGGCTCGGGCACTGGTGGAGGAGGGGCGCGCGCGGAAGAGTGGAAACTGTTTTTATTGTGAAATGCTACGTTTGTTAATTAAGTACCGGCTTTAATTTGTGTGTGTGGATGCGGCCATGGTGTAAGTGGCCAGCAGCGCGAATTGGATTTAAAACTAGTAACTATTTTTGTTTTACCAGGTGAGGTCCACTGAGCTATACAGCTCTATTTCAGAAGCGACATGGCCGCAAATGATAGCTCAACGAAGTGGATTATGATAATTGTTTTTTTACCCTTCTATCTGGAAACAAAACTGACACCTTTTTTTACAAGGAGTCATGTTTGCATTGACCACAATACCTGCGCTCGGAATGCAAACAAAAAACATAACTCTGATAATGTATGCACTGTCCTTGAAATTGACTGTTCCACACCCGAGACAGCTTTCCTTAGAACCTAGTCTCACATGGTGTTGGACCAGATGACGCCAAAAGGCGCACAACTCGAAGGCAATACACCATCAGAGTTTGAGACTCTAGGGGTGTCAGAGGAAGGATTCCCACCAATGTGAGGGTTAGTGGGACGGTGACAGGAGAAGGGGGAGGAGTAAGCGAGGAGATATAAGGGGAGAACGGGCAGGAAGAAGAGGAGCTTTGGCGTGAACGAGATTGAGACGGCTGGGGACAGGTGTGCATGGGAAAAAAGGATTAAAAGACGAACCCCTTGCAACCTTGTGTCGGCTCTCCTTTACACATGCTTGCAATGCTCACCATGCCGGGCCTCGGGTAAGGAATCTTGCCCTGGTATTTAAGCCACTGGTGGTCTGCGCCCTCCCGATGAGAGAAGGGCCCGTTGAATACGGCGCGGATGTCAGGCATGGTGTATTCGCACACTGCTGATCCGCGGAAAACAGAGCTGTATGTAACCCACACACACACAAACACACAGACAATCTCTTGTATCCTGAAACGACGAATCATGCCGGCATCAGAAAGGCTGGATTTTGTTGTTTAAATGTTCTGGATCACGCTCGGCTCATGAGAAAGTTAAAGGGTTCGGGCTACCTGAGTGGTGGGCGGAGCTACCTGAGTAGTGGGCGGAGCTACCTGAGTGGTGGGCGGAGTTACTTGAGTAGTGGGCGGAGCTACTTGAGTGGTGGGCGGAGCTACCTGTGTAGTGAGCGGAGCTACCTGAGTGATGGGCGGAGTTACGTGAATGGTGGGCGGAGTTACCTGAGTAGTGGGTGGAGCTACCTGGGTGGTGGGCGGAGTTACCTGAGTAGTGGGCAGAGTTACCTGAGTAGTGGGCAGGGCTATTGGAGTCATGGTCAGGGTTGGCATAGGAGTGGGGAGAATTGGCATTGGAGTGGGCAAGGCCAATGAGTAGTAGGTGGGGCAATTGTCACTAGTGGCCCAGTGAGTGTAGCTTTATAAAAGTGATTTGAAGCTTTCGTGACTGCAGGGATTACTCTTTGGTTCTTTCGGTAAAGTCACGTAGAAAGAAAGTAAATTAAATAATAGAGTATGACGTTTCGATTGCAACACAAGCAACCGTCATCAGGTCGAACTAAATTTGAGAGAGAGACAAAACACAGACACGGAGACACACAGGCAGACACACAAGCAGAGAGAGACACACACAGAGACACACAGAGAGACACACAACATAGACACACAGAGAGAGACAACACAGACACACAGAGATACACACAACACAGACACACAGACAAACACACAAGCAGAGAGAGACAGCACCGAGACACAGAGAGACTCACACAGAGACACACAGAGAGAGACACACAACATAGACACACAGACAGACACACAAGCAGAGAGAGACAACACAGACACACAGAGAGAGACACACAACATAGACACACAGAGACACACAGAGAGAGACACACAACATAGACATACAGACAGACACACAAGCAGAGAGAGACAACACAGACACACAGAGAGAGACACACAACATAGACACACAGACAGACACACACGCAGAGAGAGACACACAACATAGACACACAGACAGACACACACGCAGAGAGAGACAACACAGACACACAGAGAGAGACACACAACATAGACACACAGACAGACACACAAGCAGAGAGACACACAACATAGACACACAGACAGACACACACGCAGAGAGAGACAACACAGACACACAGAGAGAGACACACAACATAGACACACAGACAGACACACACGCAGAGAGAGACAACACAGACACACAGAGAGAGACACACAACATAGACACACAGACAGACACACAACATAGACACACAGACAGACACACAAGCAGAGAGACACACAACATAGACACACAGACAGACACACACGCAGAGAGAGACAACACAGAGACACAGAGAGAGATACACACAACATAGACACTCTGTGTGTCTCTGTGTTATCTTTCTCTGCTTGTGTGTCTGTCTGTGTGTCTGTGTGTCTGTGTTTTGTCTCTCAAATTTAGTTCTACCTGATGACGGTTGCTTGTGTTGCAATCGAAACGTCGTATTCTATTATTTAGTGTATTTTCTTTCTAGATCGTGACTTTACCGAAATAACCAAAGAGTTTCTAAAAGTGGGTGGAGATGACAGAGGGGAGGGCTACCAACCATTTATTTGTATTTTACCAGGTAAGGCCCACTGAGCAAGATAGCTCTTTTTCAGAAGCGACTTATACAACGATGGATGCATCTCTTTTTTACCACGGCGTCATATTTGTGCAGATGCAGAAATGTTCTTGGGAATCCCACGAGTGGATATCGAGCATTTTGCATCAAGTTCACTTTGGAATTCCCTCCCGTCGTTACTCTTTTCGGAATGTCTCCTTCTTTCATATGGCATGGGGGGGGAGCAAAAGTTTGTGTCGATGCTGTCATCGTTGAATGTTAAGGTCCTTCAAGTAATCCAAGGCGGCAGTAGACGCTGCACGGATTGCAGCGATACCGCCAGGGTGCGCGTGGATGCCGCAATTTCATATAACCCTGCTCAATAATAATTTAAAAAAACACGGTACATCCACTATCTTTTACAATTTTTATCGCGCTCTTTGTTGCTGCCGTTCAATATTTTGGGGGCTTTGGGCCTGTGTTCAGCAATGTGTGTCAAGTAAACAAATAATGAAAACCGTCTCCGACTCGGCGAATCAAACTGTGGGTCACCAGGTTCACGGTGCAGTGCACTACCCACAATGCCACCAACTTCTCCGAATCCCTAAATCACAGGGTTACGTTCACAGATGAAAAATTTACCAAATCCCCATTTCACGGGGTCCCGTGTCTCGTCAGCATTACCTGGACGTGGTAAAGACTCCGTACAGAATGGGGGATTTCTCATCCTTCGTTTGAAGCAGGAATACGTCTTCTGCAACAACAACAACAACGACACCACAAAACCGATGAACAAAGAAACGGAGCAAAGCGTTACAGAAAGAAAAACCTCGCGTCGTTTCTCTCCCCGCTTAGTCGGCGCAGAGCCCGCGCCGTGGCAGGTCTCGACAGTCGTCAAGTTGTGAGTTTGACACGCGGTCGGTCGTCGACTCCGCCCTTCACAGCGTTCAGGATCGACACAATGAGCACTGCTTGTGTGTGGGCGGGGTACGGCTGGCGGGTGCTTTTGTGGGCAAGTCATCAGCAGCTATGGAAATATCGTGCCATAGGAACGTGGAATTTCCACCACTCGCTCATTGCCGTAGACGTGACACGAGCGTGGTCCCACGCGAAACCGAATTTCGGCTTCACTTTTTTTTTGGAATTGGAAGCCCGTAATGGCAAACGCCCGACTTTTATTATCCCGCACGGGGATTGCAAATTGGAACGTTGCACGACGCACGGGGGCAGCGTTCACCCTGGGTGGTGTCAATCCTCTTTGGGGGGCGTGGGCGCTGAACACATTTATATTTTGGGGGGCGGTGGGGTGGTGAGGGCTCAGGTAAATGTTTAAGTAATTGTCTGTTTTAAACATTAAGTCCCAATAAAAACGAGAGCTTCCCTCGCATTCGATGTGTTCTCCTCTGGCTCGTATTATGCCTCCCGCTCCTTTCTTTAACGCCTCGGTCCATTTCGTGCACACGGCAGTGACGGCACCTTGAGACGTCTTCGTTTTGTGAAAGGTGCCGAATAAAGTTCCGATTATTTAATCATCGTTACGTGATGTGTGAGAGAGAGAGCGCAAGGTTGCCAGTAGAGGCGGGAGCTGTAAGTGACATAAAGAGACAGACAAATATCCCCCATATAACCTCAAAAGACTTTGGGGGCAAGTGCTGTAAGCGACACACAGACAAAGACCCCCATATAGCCTGATCAGACTTTTTGGGGAAGTGCTGTCGGTGACACAAAAACAAATATCCCTCACATGTAGCCTCAGACATTTGGGGCAAGTGCTGTAAGTGACACAAATACACAGACAAAGATCCCCCTTACAACCTCAGCAGACCGTTGGGGCAAGTGCTGCAAGCGACACAAATACACAGACAAAGAACCCCCGTATAGCCTCAACATGCCTTTGGGGCAAGTGCTGCAAGCGACACGCGCGCACGCGCTCACTGCTGGACTCACGCAGCTCGTCGAAGTGCGTGTCTATGCCGTTCAGCCCCGGCACGGAGCACACGATCCGGGCCTTGAGGAACGTGGTCCACTTGTTGACGAGGCTTCGCTGCCCACCCACGTCGTTCTGCACGGAAGCGTAGAAGCACTTTGTTAAGGCACGGGAGTGTGGGCTCCGTGTTAACACGTGTGATGAGAGTGTAGGCACCGTGTTAACACGTGGCAGGGGAGTGGGCTCCGTGTTAGCACGTGGCAGGGGAGTGGGCACCGTGTTAGCACGTGGCAGGGGAGTGGGCACCGTGTTAACACGTGGCAGGGGAGTGGGCACCGTGTGAACACGTGTGATGGGAGTGGAGGCTACAACGTTATTTTTGCACAGACGTCCAGTAGGGCACGGGGCAGAGGGGAGGGGGAGGTCAGCGACAAACGCTCGCGAGAGCCCTCGAGTGACGGGCGCGGGGTCGTCACCTTGCACACGCGAGCCACGCGCGTGTAGATCGCCTTGTCCTTGCCCCCCGTCTCCACGGCGACCTCGCGGAAGAAGAAGTACACCTTGTCGTCGTCGGGGCTGCTCGTCTCGGGGATGGCGAACGCTCCCACGAACTTGGGCTCTAAGCGGCGCGAACACCCCGAGACGCGGCTTGAGACAGCGACGAGGGCACAAGCGCTGCGATCGACGCACAGGGATCTCGGCGAGAGGGAATTCCGGCGAGCCCCTCTACGGGGTGTTTTTGGCCTACTCTTCCACGCTGGCCGGACCTCGTGGAAGAGGTGGGGGTGGCAGCACCTTAACCCACGGGCGGATCGTTGGTGTCCCGATGTACACTGCTGGTTCGGGTACAGGCGTCGTTTTAGCTGCCGCGCCTGGAGATCGAACAGGCGACCTCGCGGCTGCAAGTCCATCGGTGCTGACCCCAGGGGGTCGGCCACCAAAACAACAAGAACCATTTTTGTTTTTCAATTGGGTAAAAAAAACCCCTCAATATTTCAAGAGCCACAATGTTTTTTTTCTTCTCACGTGAACGCGAGACGGTGGCCCTGAATAAAATAACGTCACGAGGCAGTCGTCAAAGAGCCGCTGGTTGCCGAGCCCCTGTGCTGACCGATACGCAGAGGCAGCAGCCAAATAGTCGGCACTTAAGGGACACAATTGTCTCACGTCAGGCCTGGTATTTTATGGATATTCACCGTAGCAAATATGACGATAATTTTGTTGTTGTGGTTGTTTTTGTTTTTGTTAATCTCGGGCCCTGTTTAGAAGTTTGAAATGTTGGCACCACCTCACATGAAGATATTTTTCAATCCACCACTGGCATATACATCCACACCTGCGATTATCACGGTTGGTTTACGTACGGTGCGAAAGAAGTCCAACATACGTACGTATGTACATGCATAGCCCTTTCTCAATCCACTGCTAGATGAGGGCCTCCCCGACCTGTGCGGGTCGTGGGAGTCTTTTGACCATCATCACGAGTGTTGTGAACGTGTTATTATTTATCAACGCCGCGTTCCACACAGTTTGCAATCTTGATTTGAAGCTTTCGTGACTGCAGGAATCCATCCTCTTTGGTTCTTTCGGTAAAGTCACGTGGGTAGACTTTACCGACAGAACCAAAGAGTACAATTTGAAATGCCCAGCGTGGCAACAAATAACCAAGCACTGACCGGAGGGTCACAGCTCTTGCATCCGGACAAATGACGGCTTACCCAACAACACAGGCCCTCCTTGACAATGATGCACTCCTAACAACAATGACCATCGCTGCGAAAACAAAGTTGACCTCAGCGAGGCTCGCACGAAGGTCAATCGTCGGGTCATGTTTTTGTTGCAAACATCCCCCCGGGAATCTGTTTTACATTTTTTTTAGCCCGGGATTGCATCATCTAACCCAAACATACATTAAAAATAATACAACAACTTCCCTGTCTATGATTGGAGGGGGAAATTGTCAGCGGTGGGGGGTGGGGGTAGGGGGGGATGGGGGGTGGGGGGATCGGGGGGGGGGGGGTGATGGAGAGGACATAGCAGAGCAGCCAAACACCATGGAGCCGTGCGGATCTTAAAGCGTGGCTTTAAAAATAATCTCACCGTGCCGGTCCGTACTAAGAACGGGCCCAGCACGGCCTGAGTCTGAGTTCAAATGTGCCATGAGAACGCCGCGCAAAAGTCTCCATCGTGACAGGCAACACCAGTGGAGTGCTGCTCGTTCGCACGGAGCAGCGATAGGGACGGGGGTTGAACGTTTCCTCTCGCGCTCCTGACCGTTGAGCCAAAGTTTCTCGTGCTGCTCCGTGCGGATGGCCGAGCGGTCCGGCCACTGGCTGAGAAATCTGGCGAAGGCGACGTCCTTCCCCATGAAGTCCCACGCGGCCGCAGAGAAGAGCTTCTCGTCTGCGGAGAATCATGCACGCGCACGCACACACGCAGTGCACGCACACACGCACGCGCACACACGCACGCACGCACGCGCATGCACACACGCACGCACACACACACGCACACACACGCACGCAAACACGCGCACGCACACAGACGCACACACGCACGCACGCACACACGCACACACACGCACGCACACACGCACGCACACACGCACGCGCATGCACACACGCACGCACACACGCACGCACACACGCACACACGCACGCACACACGCACGCACACACACGCACACGCGCACGCACACACGCACGCGCACGCACACACACACACGAATCTCGCGGTCTGCCGTCTTGGATTGCAAAAACGCACGCATGGGGGCATTGAACGTTGAGTCAATGGGCATGCAGGCACAAGGGATTCATATTCCAGCAGGGGTCTCATCCACTTAACAGTTTGTAAAGGCTACAGGGGAATATTTGTACGTGCACTTATACATACAGATGGTTGACGGGAGCGGGCAGCATCTGTTTGGACATGACTCTCTGCTGATGTTAGCCGAGGACCATACTTCGTCATGTTGGTCAGTACAGATTGGTGAAGGCGAGGTCAAAATCTGGTTCAGATATCCCTCACCAGGCCCAAGAAACGAACTCAGGTGGGCGGCTTCACATCGCAGTGCGACAACCGCTGCGCCACCACTCCACGGCACGAATGAGCGGCTCAAACCGCGCGCATTTGTGAGCGGTCCCCACCGGCCATGATGGACGCTGAGGGCTGGAGGGGGTCAAAGGGACACTTCCCCAGACCAGGCTCCAGGCTGTGCGGCTCCAGTCGGAACACGGGATCCTGGGAGGAGAGGGAGGGGAGGGAGGGGAGGGGGTTTATGTTGGGTTCATATGGGAGGTGGATGGATGGCTCAGGCAGACGCTGCTGTTCAGTATGGCACGGTGTGCTCATTGTCATCATCGACATTATCGTTGTCTTCATAGTAATCATTTTCGTTGTCATTTGTCGTTGTCGTCATCATTGTCATCATCATCATCATCACTGCCACTAGTCTCATCATTGTCATGAACACTGTCACAAGTGTGATCTTTATCATGATCACTGCCACTAGTCTCATCATTATCATCATTATTATCGTTGTATTCGACATCATCATCGTCTTCGTCATGATTATCAACAATCGTTAAACGTTCCCAATGCACAGCCCCTCGGAGCACGTTTGGAGGGGTCTGCCGTGAACCAGTGATGTGAGCTGTGCGAGAGTAAAAATGTGTCAAAAGAAAAAACAGAACGGAAATGTTTCGCTCTAAAATAAACGTAAAGAGATCATCTGAATAACAAAGAATCAGGAGCAGTGAAATAAGGATGAACTTGTTAAAACAAAACAAAAAATGGCATTAGGTTTCAGGCAACATTTTAAATAGTTAATGACAAGAAGTAACCGGGTCGATCAGGGGTCAGAACGCTGAGCCGTTACCTCTGAGAAATCTGGGCAGCCACCCGCGATGAAACCGTGTTCTCAAGCGGACTGCGTTCATGGTCTCAAGCCGTCAACTATTTGATTGCACCAAACTAATATAATTACATTAATATTTCTTTCACCTAATCCGGCTTTTTACATCTCTGAGAATGAGCAAACTGATTGCAGCGCTCAGGAGACTGTGGCCCTCGTGTGGATACTCTCCCTTCTATGCCTCTTTCCAGGCTGCACCGCGTGTCATTTGGCACGATGTCCGACGTTCGACTCCACATCCTGGGAGCTTCTTCAGCAACGTAAGAATTCGTGTTGTTTTTTTACCACCCCAGCACGTGGAAGGAAACGTCGAACAACTGCGCGGTACAATCCTAAGACAGAGCGGAGAGCTATGTACGCACATATGTTGAACTTCTTTCGCACCGTACCTAGCCAACAGCGTTAATCAGGGGTGCGGGTGGAGGAGAACAAACCATACACACAAAGCGGTTCTCAAGAATTGAGTTTTCATTTCAAAATAAAAGTCCCCTTGTCGTATTGCGCTGCCCCGGTTGCTGTACCTCCACCTTCTGCCCGAGGTTGACGTAGGCGCAGATGGGATTGTACGCCCCGGTGCCGCACACGTACAGGTGCGTGCGGTTGTACGGCTGCAGGACGCGTACGAAGTTTGCACACTCCGTCTGAAATGAGAACAATTTTACACGCGCGATGTTGCGCGCGTTGCCGTATGCGAGCAGCAAAGTGGGTAGGTGCGTGATGAATCGCTATCTTTTCCCTTGGGTTCAATGACTCTAAATGCGCATTATCTTGTCGGCTGTCAGAATTCTAAGCAAGGTTGAGCCAAGTTGGCACTTGGGTTGGGTGACCACCGCCCGGGTTTTTGACGGGTTTGGTAAGCCACGAGATGTGGTCACAATATGTTGGGAGCCGAATGCCACCCCCCCCCCCCCGTAAGTTTGTGAATTCTCTGTGGCTACTCCGGCTTCCTACCACATGCCCAACACGTGTGAATGGAATTTGGCCAAAGATCCGAATTCAGCACGTGCTTGAAAAAAAACAACAGTTCTGAGACTCTGGAAGGATTTTCTGGGAAAATAAATGGCATTAAATTTAATTACTTGGATATGCGAGGTTATTTCTGTAGAACAAACATAAAACAAAAACATTTAATATTTGTAAGATTGTACATCGGCATGTATATTTATTTGATTCATTAGCTAATAAAATAACAGCATGTTCGCTCGAATTAAAACAACTCAAACCTTTGCACATTATATCGGACTTTAATCTCCCAATGTTACCCGGTAATTTATTTTCAGGAGGTTGAAATTCCTTCTGAGCTTTCATTTTACATTTTAAGTTTCCCCGGTGAAGCAACTCACAAAGGGGTTCTTGCCAGCGTGGCGACACATCTCAGACTTGTCTCTTGAAGGTGGCCAATAAATCTGGAAGAAATGAAACGCATTTTATTTTGCACGCGATCGGCCTGCAACGTGAAGCAAGGCCATCTAAAGTTGATGATCGATTATTCGGCACTGCGCAATTATCCGGCTGCTTCCAACGTTATCCGGTGGTCTTGAGCAGATCCGGCAAAACCGCTACAAAGGCTGAAACCAGTCCGGCGATCGGCATAACGTGTGTTACAAAGAAAGTAGCTATGCTTGATTTAATAGTGTATACGCTACATTATACACTACATACAACTTATAAAATGAAGCACATGCATCACCCTATGCAGAGTCTGCGAGATTGGAGTGGTAAGTACGGTAAACACAGTAACTTTTTTTAAAGGAGGATTTAAATTATTGCCTATTTGTATGCTTATTTATGTCAATTTCATATCGTAAACAAAATGAAAACACTAAACAAATAACAACACCTAAAAACACAATGTCATGCATAGAATGTGAAAAAATAAGCAATTTTAAATAACGTTGATGAGTGATAATCGATGACCTACTGTTGATAATAGATGATCGACTGTATGTTGAAAATCGATGGTATACTGCAGTGACCATGGTGTTTACACGGAGCGGGTGTACATTTGCCAGTGTGAATTTGTTCATCATCATTGTCAACTGGTCCACAGAAACATGTTCGACTGCGATATTTCACTTCGTCGTGAAAAAAAAAATACAAATTGAACCGCACGTTTTATGAAAGATCGCCAGCGTCCACTTAGCCAGCATCTTATTTTGTAAGAATGTAGTAAGCAAAAGGGGGGGAGGGGGGGGGTTGGCACACGCTGAACAATTTTCAAACGCGCACACAGCAGCACACGTTTATCCTCAAACAAATCAACTTCAGTGAATATTTTAAAAACTTTAGAAACTCCTTTTTTGTTTTCCACATAATGCACTAGCTTGATACAAGGTGGTTTGGGCTGTTGCCGTTCTTTATTATTACTGCTAATCCTACATAGTACACTAGCATAATATGGCTTTGAGACCCCGACCGCCTACACATTCCACAAGGAGTGACTAATCCCATATCTGCATTTGTCATCAATATGCTAAATTCCTCTGTTGATGTGTAAACTCATTTGTCAAGGCGCTCTCCTCCTCCCACCCAGCTTAAAATACGCTGCCAAGCTTAGCAGTGTTCATTGGGACGCTGTCTTTCCGACAGCTCTGTTTCTTCACCTGAGGACGGCTGCTTGCGTTGTGGCCGAAACGTCGTGCGAATTATATTTAATAATGTAAATTTTATTTTATTTTATTATTTCCCTTCTACGTGACTTTACCGAAAGAACCAAGAATATGAATCCCTGCAGTCACGAAAGCTTTAAATCGAAACTTCAGTGAACGTACATCAATCTCAAAATTATATTTGGAATGCACGCAGTTTCACGGTTTTGCGATTGTATCATACGGCCGCCTGCAGTGAACGCGCGATACAATGAAAAAAAACGCACGCTCAATTATGTACGTGTTGACTTTGCAAACAAAAATAACTGAGCTCATTTTTACCGAGGGGCTGTGCCACGTCAAATTGTGCAAACAAAGAAGAATTTCTGGGGCGATTTCATAAAAAACAAACCAAGCCCCCCCCCCACCTCTCTCTCTCTCACAGAAAATGACAAAGAGACCCCGTACAGCCTGAACAGACTGTTGGTGCAAGCGCTGTTCGCGAATAGCACCGATGAAGACTACAGGCACTGTGACACACGAGTGGTTCGGTGGCCAACACCCCAGTGGCGACGTTTACACACCGCACTCATTTGAGGCTGAGCCGACGTAGGGGAATGCCCAGGACCGGTTCAGATAATCGTCACTGGGTGTTGGTGGCCGTGAGCGGGAATCGAATTCGGGTGGCCACACGAGACACGCACACACGAGACGCGCACACACGAGACGCACACTTTTAGCGGTAATTAAAAAAAACATCTTGCTGGGCGCTGCCAAGTTTGAGCAGGGAGAGGCATCGTCGCACGCGGGGGCAGGGGCGGTCACGGCGATGCATGCAGCTCCCTTTTCACACCGGAATATTTCACACCGCTGGAAAGAGAAGTTCGCTCCGTGATGGCGCGGGGCTGGGGGGTGCTGACCGACGGTGAAATTTGACGGCGTAAAGATGGCCCAGCCACACACACACACCTCTCTCACTACGAAGTTCACCGGGGTCTCGTAATCGCAGCCACGGCGAGGCCTGCGCTTTAACAATTAGCCGCGTCGATCTGCTCCCAGGCTCGAGGGCTCGTTATAGTTCGAGGGAGGAGAAACACACACACGCAAAAAAAAACCCAAACATGTTTTGGGAATGTGGCGTCCGAAGCCATTAGTGCATACCAGTAGTGTCCGCCCGTACGTGCGTGTGTGTGTGTTAGAGTGTTTAAGACTTGTGCGAATGCGTGTGTGAAGTGAATGTTCTAAAATAAACACACGTGCGCACGCATCTACGTGAGCGCGCGTCCGATTCGATTCTGTGTGCCCGGTTAAGACGTTTTGTGTGTGTGTGTGTCCAGAGCAAGGGTCACTGTTGTGGTTGTCTTAATTAGGCCGTGCTTCGCTGATTGGGCTGTGTAGACAGGGTCGCAATGACGCAGGGGTTTCATGGGCTGCAGATCGGAGGCTCCGTTCGGCTTTGTAACTATCGAAGAGCAAGTCTGCGGCGCGACAACACGTCCTGAGAGCGCCACTTGTGGCAATCAAAACATCCGTGGTATCGCGACGCGCGCTACAACCTCGAGTGGCGTGCCGAAATGACAACAGTGGCGCCCGCTTTAATTGTTCGATCGGGGATTGTGCAGTTTCGCGTAACGCATTTCAGAACGCCTGACGCACAGCGCGAGATTAACAGCGACTGCAAGCGTTTGGCTTCGGGCACGGGTGGAGGTAAAAACCGTTTTTAAGTGAAGGAAATTAATATCCCCCAAATACAAAAGAGGGAGCGACACCCCTCCCCCCCCGACGCCCAATCCCATAACAGCCCCGCCTCCCCCATCATCGAACTGAACCGGGCCCCGTTGTCTAGACTCGAGACGCCGTGCGCCTACCAGCCCACGGCGCGCGATGACTCCGCCTGCACGTGTGGAGGTTTACTCTGGGATCTCTGGTTCCCCCCCCCCCCACGTGCAAATTTACTGCAAACGACCAAAAAACATCCCCAAGCAAGAGCAGCCCGGGCCTGCCCCCCCCCTCGCACGAGTCTTGAGTGGTCGTCGTCCGAGGCTTTTTCCTCTGGGCAAACAAACTAATCACATCAACTCATTCTCGTTACGTCGTGAGAACATTCGAATAGCCACTGTGGCACAGAGGTGTACACATCCACCCGCCCCACCACCACCACCCTCACTCTTGTAACGCGCCACGGAAGGTATCCGCAGACCGCGCGGAACTTGCGGGGCTTGTGGGGCTTGCGGGGCTTGCTCTCCCCACATGCCTGGTGAACATGGGATGGATCCCGCGCCAATGTGTACGTTGAAAATACGAACCTCGCCCCCCCCTACCTCCTCTGCCGCGATGCGCGTTGTGACGAGCCTAGTGGATTGTTTCATTTCAAATTAAACATTTAAAATGTTGCCACTATGGCAATCGCAATGGCCCAGCTGGGATGAGCACGTTGGTCAAATTGTTCTTCTCGTCATCACCTCGGTCCATCATCAATGTCCATCATCAATGGGCATTGGGATCCTAGGATGGAATGCGAATTATAAATTTGAATTATTATATTACGAAATAGGTGCTACTTTGTGTATTTCAAATGTAATAGTTTAGGGGGCCCCAATTTTGTTAATCGATTCCTGTTCCTTGACTGTTTCACCACCAACAATAGCCCGATGCCAAACACTCTGTTGTTGTTGTTGTTGTTGTTCACCCCTTGGTTGTTTCACATGAGCACGGTTGGCTACATACGGTGTGAAAGAAGTTAAAACGCACGTACATGAAGTGTGATATGCGAATTGCAAAACGTAACTCAGAGTTAAAATGAATTTAACTGGTCGTGACACACGTGGTCATGCTATGGCTTTAATGATCAAATAACACTATAGGATGCGTCACCGCTGCTCATTATAATCGTCACGATCCATGGGCAGATAGCCCCGTAGATGTCCACTGCATATATCATTTGTTTCCAATTTGCGATATGTCTTATGCAACGTGCTCAAGTAGTGGCCACGTCTTTCTGGCACCAATCTTTTCTGTCGTCGTCGTCAGGCCATTCTCTGTTGCGTCTTTCCGGTTCCTTAACATTTTTCTGAACAACACACATGTTTAATTGTCGTGTAGTTGTCCATCCTCGACATATGTGTCCAAACAGTGCCTCATCACTGCAACATTTGCCCAAGACATTATGAGGCAATATATATAAACTATTTAAATTGAGGGACCTTGCAGCCACGACCTTACTGGACATGTGTCAAAAAGAGCTTCAGAGCTCATCGGATTCCTCCTCCGGCAGTCGAGATAAAGATTGTGATTTTGAGCCGTGCACACAACGGTGGCATTTCAACAATAATCATCATCATCGTCGCCGCCGCCGTCATCATCATCATCGTCCGGCCGGGGTGGTTGGCACCTTCTTAGGCGCGCGGTTGAGGTTGTCCAGCTGGAGCATGTAGAGGTGGTCCCGCGCACCCACAATCAGCCGCCCCCGGTCCTCGTCCACAACCATCTCGCGGAACTCGGAGCTTTCCATCGCCAGGGCCAGCACCAGCGAGCTGTTGGTCGCCTGCAGCTCTGCGTCGTTGGGGTGGTGGGGCAGGGGGCGATGGAGTGGGGGAGGGGGCGAGGGGGAGAGGGGGGTCATAAATATCGTCCAGCATTGATGGCACATAAATATCAAAGAGAAGCGTGGAGAAATAAAGATGACCACCACACCTATCCCAAAACGCTCGCCACCCTCCCCCAGGTCCTGCAGACATGCGACCTCCAAGATCTACCGTGACAGCCTCTCACGATCTGGCCCCAGGTCTTCACCTTGGTGACCGCTGCCTGGGTAAGCGGACCTCCTCCTTCCTGCGTGCGTGACTTGCCCAACACATGCATCTTCTCTTTTTTGTTACTCTCCAAAAATGCCGATTTACAGCGTGGACAGATGCGTGCTTTGAATTACATTCCCGAAACAGAAATGAGTGTTTGTAACCTTGGTCCAAAAAAGAAAGGACCGTGTCACTCTGCGTCCGTAAGCTGCCGCCCCACCGGTCGATTAATTAATATTAACGATTAGCAACGCCCGTTCCGGCCCACGGAGCGTGATGCAGGAGATGGAGCAATGGCAGGGGCTCGCTCGCGATATGCCTGGTGGATCGCTACATTGCAGAACTGAAGGAGGCATGGGTGGTCGGCTTGGCGAATGATTCGTCCAGCAGTGGGTTGATCACGGCTGATGATGATGATGATGGGGGACATCCTGGGTTTGAATATGGGCAACCGACCGTGATGATGCTGGGCTCTCAATTTGTCGAGGGGTGATGATCTCAGCCCAGTCGTCTTTGACTATGTGTAATTATAAAATTGCCAGAGAGGGTAAAACTTGATCTTAATTTTGATACTGGGAAAAAAAATGTCCCGTGATATAAACGCATTACTTTACGGGGTTGTTTTTACTTGAGCAAACTCCAACACTGCGGGCTATTTTCTCTCTCAAGTCCATTGCCATATGGGGAGATACGACTCCCAGTATGGATAATGGGTAATTGAAGGGACTTTATAATTGGTTTGTGTCATGTCAACATCCAAAAAAAACAAATTCTCTCACATGGGGTGGGTGCGGTGTTTTCCGTGGCATTTCTGAATGGAAATGTCTTGCGTTGCTTGAATGGTTCATGATATGGCACGAGTGGTACAACTGGAATATAATTGTTTTTTTTTAAATGCAAGATACAACAATAAAATTACTCTGATCAGTGACACTGTTGTCAAAAAATTCACATGATCGAAAATTTCGGGTAAAATTCCAAGATATTTATTTGAAGCACTCTTTAAAACATTCTCAGCCCTTTAAAAATGTACGTCCGCTCGCTTTTAAGCGGAAGTCAGCGCGGGGTTTGTTTCCTATAAAAGAGGGAACTAAAACAAAACTGCTGTCTGACATACCAGCCATGACTGACGGAACATAGATCAAGAATAGAAAGAGCGATTAATCCAAGGATAAAAACAACAAAGATCGGAACGAAATAAAACGAAGGGTTGATCTACGCCCGACCGCTGCCGCGAATCTGTCCTCAGAACGTGAGGGCCCTGAGATTAACGGCGAGGGGAAATACGCGGCCTTGCAGACGTTGATAAAGAACAGATCCCCGTGGGTGTGTGTGGGGTTGCCATGTGCCATGCTGCTCTCTTGAGATCAAAGGACGAGGAGGGAGGAGGAGGAAGAAGAGGAGGGAAAGACGGGGAAGGAAACCTCCTCTACATCACGGGGCTCGTCCCCTGCACGAGCCTGGGAGTCGCATACGTGTCGAGCGGAGAATAGGAGACGGAGAATAGGAGACGGAGAATGGAAAACAAAAAATATGAGACAGAAAATAGGGAATAGAGAATGTGAGACAGATAATAGGGAATAGAGAATGTGAGACAGAAAATAGGGAATAGAGAATGTGAGACAGAAAATAGGGAATAGAGAATGTGAGACAGATAATAGGAAATGAAGAAGAGGAGACAGAGAATAGGAAATGGAGAATTGGAGACAGAATAGCATTTGTTATAAAGGGGCCCTAAATAAAACAAACTAAAAAAGATTTTAACACACAATGTGTAACTTGCATAGTAAAGTTACTGGATTTTTTCATTTGTTATACAGCCAGATAATACGGCAAATCGCTAACTTTGAACACCCAGTCGTTCATAAAAGTTGAAGGCGGTATAGTACTCTAGTAATAGAGCAAGTGCAGAATCACTGAACCGGAATTGATAGCTTGAGAGCATTTAGCGCGGGGCCCTTGAAAGTGCGGGGCCCGTAGCATTTGCAGCTACTTCTGCTACTGCGATGATCCGGCACTGCCCACCCACCCCACCGCCTCCTTCGCCGTGCCAGCGAGAAGAAGCCTGCGGCTGTGTGAATGGACGGCGGTGCAAATTGCAGCGGTGGTTGGGGAGCAAAAAAAAATACAAAGAGAGACGTGACATGGGAAAGGCGGCGGCGCGGGCGGGAGTGGCGGTCTGTTGAGGTCTTCCTCTCCTTCTTTCGTGCGGCTGCTGATGTTGTAGATGAGCAGCCGACGGCTGCAATTGTGGCACTGAGGTGGCCGGAGCGGCGGGCGTTGTCTCGTCGCGACGTCTCCCTTCCCCGTATTTGTGGATCGGGAAGGGGGGGGCATTGCGTTGTGTTACGGTCTCTGCTGGATGACCACAGTCGCACACCGCCCGGAGAGTTTATTTATTTGTTGTCCACATTGAGGCATCAGCGTATCCGCATCTACTTGCCGCCATGGTTTTGTGCGGTGGATGCGATTTTGGGTGGACTATGAGGTCGTTGAGTGATTTTTTTAGGGCCCTTTATACATTTAAACGATGAAATTAATCACGCGGCTTCTGGGGTGGGGGGAGGAGAATGGCCTCGACTAGGGTGAGCTCTAGAGAGCACCCCCACCCAGTTGAAGGTATTTTTTGGCCTACTCTTCCACGCTGGCCGGATGTCTTTTAGGAAGTGGGAATACTCGTGGGAGTACCCAAACTTGACCCCAACACACGCGACCTGTCGGATCGACTGCGGTGCACCAATTTGTTATCCTGCTGGGTGGACTGAGGCAAGGGGATTTCAACTAAAGCTAAACATTGTTTAATTTAATTTTACCAGCTAAGGCCCACTGAGCGGTCTGGCCACAAATGATAGCTCAATAAAGTGGCTTATCACGTGGAAATTTATAGCAGACCCCAAATGCTCTAGAAGCGCGTTTCTAAATGTGGAGAGAAAAACCGGAGGACCCGCAGAAAAACCACGCAATCATGGGGAGAGACACGCAAACTCCAAATATACAGCATGCGTCAGGCTCGGGATCAAACCCCCGATCTCCTGTATACCAGGCGAGGTAGTCAAAATCTCGTCATTATGGCGCCATAATTGAGGAAAGCTGCATCAACGTTTCAACTGCCACACCAGGAGATCACAGCGGCGGCGGCGAGGGTTGTCCGTTTAGTTGACAAAATAAAATCCCACGAATCGATGGACCTTCTTGAACGAAATATTTTCTGAGGAGGGGAAAAAACCCTAGACCGGTTTAGACCTCTCTGAGTGCCATCAGCAGGGTGTGTGAACCGCTTAGCAAATGCTGCCAGGGTCACGTGATGTTCTAGTGAAGAGCCATCAGTGAGGGAGGCCATTCAGAGCAGTCCAGAAAAAAACCAGTACAAAATCTGTCTACACTGCCTTGCCAGACTGTGGGTTTATACATTATCCAATTAAACACACAAACAAGCATGAACATGATTACGCAGACAAAATAAACAACTCGATCCTGCTTGTTTTGATTCTGTTCGGGACAATCGGCCAAGGCGGCCACGTCACGATGTTGTGCTCTGTGATTGCTGTTGTTATTGTCTGAGCATCCCCCCATGTCAACTTGGTCTGAGATGAGATACGTGGTGCGCGTGTAAGCGTCAGCACTGGGGAGACAAAGGTGGGCGAGCGAGCGTGGCGTGCTGTTAGGTGCTCATGAACAGCACTTGCCCCCAGTGGTCTGAACGAGGCTATACGGGTGCTCTTTGTCTCTGTAATGAAGAGTGGCTCAGAAACTCCATTCACTCGATCCCTCCTTCCCCCCTTGCCTCCTCAGGGAGGTAACGCAAGCCTTTTAAAGTCGTTACCTTAATTTGATCAGAATATTTCGTGGGTTTTTTTTGCTGTTGAGTGTTACATTGAACGGCAATAATCGCATTACGCAACTGTTTGTTTCGTTATTTGATTGAAAATGGTAATTCCATAAAGGATGACGGTGATAATGATTCATATCAACAAGAGCCTTTATTTACCTAGAAAAGCACGGCCGAGTCTCAAGACGGGTCCTTAGGAGGATTCTACGTTGGGATTGTATATTATTTTTTTACACCTTCATTACCGTCTTAGGATTCAGGTGACAGGAAACTAAATTAGTGGAGGAAAATCCACCGTGTATGTTGAACTTCTTTCGCACCGTACGTAGCCAACAGTGCTAATCGGAGGGTGGTCACGCAAAACTCCACACAGATGCATTCAATAATGCGTGGTTAATCTGTCATCCCATTGGTCAGCTCAGCATAAGCCTACAACAGCTGACGTTTGCAGGTAGTCCAATCAAAGTATTAACTCGGCTCAACCCTGGTTAGACAATATTTATCATCAAAGATTCCCAAATAATTTCATCTTGTAAGCACATAGATGATGATGATTTCGTATTGCCAATCAAGAGCAACTCATTAGAGATTCAGTTCTGGTATGAGTATTGACATACATATACAAGTGGATAGACACAAAGGTGAAATCATAAGTATACAGGCCTTTATTTAGTCAGAAAAGCTTCACTTAGCCGCAATAATGGTTTTTAAGAGAGTCACGCCGTTGAGCGTTTGGCAATTTCCTCTTTTAAGGAGTGCTGCTTGAACATTGCCGCATGAGTGAATCCCCATTATATGGGGCAGTGTACAGCATCATTGAGTGAGTGGACAGCACCACACCTGCCCATCATGTGGAACTTTATCGCAGGCAAATACTCGAAAATATAAATAAGTACCTAAAGCAGCCAAATACACACTGCACAAGGTAC